TATTACATCTTTGTGATTGACTTAGAATTTTTTTATTATTTTTGAAACTTTTATTAAATTATAATTGATATATTTGTTCAGAAATACTTTTAATATTCAAAATTTTGTATTTTCTAATTTTATAAATTTTAAATTTACGTGATTTACTATACAACAACTAAGTCACGTCACTCTTTTCATAAGCTTCTACTTGAGGATCAACTTGCAAACGTAGAAGCCCCTTGTGACCCTCTTTGTGTAGACACTAATTACCTCATTTTGGCCCCTTCTGAGCTCCTTCCCCATTGTGTAGTGAGCCTTTAGGTCTAGGTAGAGCCTGACACAAGATTGTGCTGTGGGGACAAGAGGCGTAGAGATCAAAGAAGAATTAGGCTCAAGAGCTCCTTCCACATGGTGTCCATCACTAGTCTCATATGGCTTCTTCTTACTCAAATGCAACCCTATCTTCTCCTTTCGTCTACTTTTTGTGAGAGATGGTGGTGAACTACTATTTCAAGAAATAAAAGAAAACTAAGGACGATGGTGGTCTTGCCCCTAATTTATCAATCTCTATTCTTAGGAAGGTCTTGGCCATGCTAAGCTTTGAATGACAGTTTTGTAGTTATCTACTACATGAGAACATCACTCATTGTTTATTCTTTGATTTCATCATAGAGACTAGAATCCCAAAAACTTTTTAGAGTCTCATCAAATCCTCTCACGATCTCATACATCTATTTTTTTAAAATAAAATAAAATAAATAAAATATCAATCTCTCTACACTCTTTAGTGGGTCTTAGTTATTAAATCTTTGTCTAGGTCCAAACTCTATTGGAGTTTATTTTACTAAGTTGAAAACCATTAGGAAAGATTTAGAAAACTTCAAACATATTTCCAATTCCACATGTGGTAGGATGAATGAACGATATAATCATGCATAAACTGAATATGTGATTTAGGTTTAAATGAGGAATTAAATTAAATATGGTCTCAAATTCTTCTAATGTATCCCATATTGAAAATTACAAAGGTTTATTCAATTATGATTTAGGAGGAAAATTAGAGACAAAATAGCAAACAAACACTTGACTTTAAACCAAATCAAGCAGCCATGTTTACTATGAAAACTCGACACAATAAATCTTTATTCAATCCAAATCTCAATCAAGAATCAAGAAAGATCACCCATTATTCCTATTGCAAATATCAAGAACATATCATGGACAAGTGTTACAAACTACATGGATATCCTCTTGGCCACAAACCAAAAGTGAAATATGTGACAGTCAATCAAGTTGTTACTCAATTAATGAATAATGAAGTTGAAAAGGATTTCAAGAAGTCATCGATTAAAGACCTTGATACTACTTTCAGCAAGTTGAATGATTCTCAAATTCAAGATCTCATATCAAAGTTATCTATACATTTGAGCATTAATATAGAGGAGAATCAACATTATGATCAATTTGCATTTTCAAGAGGTATTTTCTGCATGTCTATTTCTACACAATGTCATCATGTTAAATATGGAATTTTTGGATCATAGATTTTTAGAATTATAAATCATATTTTTTTCAATATATATATTCTCGTCTCTTTGTTGAAGTCTATCATCCTTGATGATCTTCCTTAACAATAAAATTTGTTTAGCTAGAGACATTAAATTAGGCAATCATATCATTTTGAGAGATGCGTTATTTGTGCCATTGATCAAATTTAATTTGATATCATTCAGTAGTGCTAAAAATCTCAATTATATGCACTTTCTTTTCTATACATGTTATTATACATGATTGCACATCACACCAAGTGATTGGCATGGTTGATCGTAGTTTGAATCTATATATTTTGGATTCACAAAAATATATGTAGTCATTTTTATAGGATGAAGAAAATACAACCAAGGTTATGTCAATAAAAGTGTCACCAAATATTTGGCATGGCTGTTTTGGCCATTCATCATCAAAGGTCTTAAAGACACCTAGTGAAAAATGTTTTTCTTTGTCATCTATGATTGATGATATTTTTCTTTGTCATCTATGTCTAATGGCTAAACAATATATATTACCTTTTGGATCTCATAACAAATTTGTAGATCATCCCTTTGATTTGATACATTGCAATGTATAGGGGTCATTCCATATGACTAGTCATAAGGGGCACAAATACTTTCTTGCAATTATGGATGACTCCAATATATATACATAGACATTCTTATTGTCAAAAAAATCCGATGTGAAACTCATTGTACTTTAATTTTGTCATGATTTATACTCATAATTTGGGCATAGGATCAAACAAATACTTGATAATGTAAAGGATATTAAGTTACAATAATTTTTATAGATAATGGAGTCTTACATCAATTTTCGTATATAAAACTCCTCAAAAAAATTACATAGTTCAAAGAAAACATCAACATTTATTGAATACTACATGATAATTATCTTTCAGTCACATGTTCCTTCATCAATTTTCATCTGCATGTATACTAACTTCACCTTTCATCATCAATTGTTTACCATTGGTAACTTTGAATTACAAGACTTCTTTTAAATTACTTTATAAAAAAATCTGTTGATTACTCTCAAAATGAAAGTTTTTGAGTGTTTAGCATTTGCTTACACCTTAGCGGCTAATCAAAAGAAATTTGATCCTTGTGCTAAGGCATATAGCTTCATTGGATACCCATTGTACATGAGAGGATATAAACTACTCAACATGGATATTAGATAAATTATAATATCAAGATATGTCATATTTCAGAAAAACGGCTTTCCATTTACCAAGTTTCAAAGCTCACAAACTACTCATCCTTTTCAAATATCATGCTTCCCAATCATACCAATCTCATTGAAGATGATGAGATTAATTTGAAATCTCAAAGTTTTAATGGCATTGAGCGTCACATTGAGCCTTTTGATGACACAAACACGCAGCAAGCAAACAATTGATTACTCAACATCAAATCAAAATTAAGAGAATAATAGCTCAATGTGTGGAAGTCAAATTGTGTGTGCAAAACTCCATCTACATGCAAGATTTTGAATGTAACAATGTTATGATTGATCTTCTAGTCAATGAGAAAATCATGTATCTAATTTCAAATTTTGTGAGCCATGAAAGATTATCCTCAACATATAGAAACTATGTGATACATATATCATTGGATTATGAACCATTGTTTTATGATTAGGTAGTTGCCTTTTCTCACTAGAGAGAAGCAATGGAATTTGAGTTGGAAGCCATGAAGATCAATTGAACATAGAGCATTATTCCACTGCCACTAGGTAAACATTCAATTGGATGTCATTGGGTTTACAAAACCAAATATAAGGCTAAAAGATTAGTGGAATGTTATAAGGTCCAATTAGTGGCCAAAGGATATAATCAACATTAGGGAATCGACTACTTTAATTTTTTTTCTCTAATTGCTAAAGCGACTACTATCAAATTGATTTTAGCCTTGACATCTAGATATGACTAGAATCTTCTTTAGTTGGATGCTAATAATACATTCTTAAATGGAGAGCTTAAGGAAGAAATATAAATGGATCTACCCCTAGGACATCCCTACCAAGGAAGAAAGGATAATCTATTTTTCAAGCTTCATAAATCCATATGTGGTCTTAAATAAGCCTCAAGACAATGGTACACAAAATTTTCTGACTCTCTTACTATTTATTTTTTTAATTAAGTCAAAATTAGACTATTCATCATTCATTAAAGGCAGCAATAACACATTTGTTGCACCAATTGTCTATGTTGATGACATCATCATCATTGGACCTAACATGCAAGAAGTCAAGATTGTTAATAATTTTTTTCAAGATTAAACATACTGGTGATCTGAAATATTTTTTAGATATCTAATTGAAAAAATCAAGTGATGGAATTATAATATCTTAGAGGAAATACATAATGCAGTTACTTGAAGACACAAGTTTCCTTCAATCTATGTCTTGTAATATTCCCATGGAAACGAAGGTGCAACTCAAGTCATATGTAGGAGAGATAGTGGATGATCCATCTCAATATAGAAGACTCAGCTTTTTTATGACTTGACATCACCTTTTTAGTCCACAGATTAAGTTAATACATGAATAAACCAAGACATGAATGCATGAAAGTAGTACATCAAGTATTAAGAGACTTGAAATCTTCACTAGTTAAAGGTTTATTTTTTCCTCAAACATCAAAATTACAAACTTGGGCATTCTCATATGATGATTGGAAATAGACATAGAGATCTTACATAGGCACACACAGATCAAAATATTTACATAGACACACAAAGATCAACCACTGACTTTTCCATCTTCTTAGGAGATTATCTAATATCATGGAAGTCAAAGAAACAGCCTACAGTCTCTTGATTTTCTATTAAAGTAAAATACAAAGTAATGGCTACAACAACATTTAAAATTTCTTGGAACAACAACTATTAATTGATCTCTGTTGGAAATTATGTCTCCTTACCATTTTGTTTTGTGATAATGAGGTAGCAGTCCACATTGCTTTCAATCTTATTGTCATTTTATTTGTGAAAAAGGTAGCTAATGGATGCATTAAGTTATTGTCAATCAAGACACAAGACCAACTTATTAACATATTTACCAAGCCCTTGGGTGAAAATAAATTTAGTAAGATACTTACCAAGTTGACCATCAAAGACATTTATGCAAATTCTAGATGATCTTTTCTCAATCATATTATTGATGGCATAGACAATACATATGCCTCAGCTTTGATGACAAATCACATTATGTGAAGCGAAAGTCCCTATCTTTTTCTTTTCATTTTTTTTGTTCTGTCGTATGATTCCATCGTAAAGTGCTAAGTGTTAGTCACATGACATGTTAGAATAAAAATAAGATGGTTTTGTTTTGGGTTTTCCCCTTTCTCATGTTACCGTATGTGGTGGTTTTCATTGGTGTTTAGGGGGGATATAGCTTGAGAGCTTGCTGGTGTTTACATGTTGACTGGAACAGTTTTTGGACTTTCTGCTGAAACATGTTACTTAGGGCTCAGGACGCCGAAATGTGCTCTCTACTCGAGATCTCATCATGGCACAGAACTCCTCATAATTGATCTTCCCGTCCTGAAAGTCAACATTCACTTTGAAAATAATTATACGAATAGTAATAGTAATCGAGATTTTTTTCTTTATGACGTTGGAAACTATTATTTCCGAAGAAAGTTAAAGAAGAAGAGACGTACATTGTTTATATCGACCTCAGACATGATCTCGTCAATGGACTCCGTGACTCCCATTCCATCCTCCCGGAGTGCCGATTCGAGTTCCTCTCGCGTGATGAACCTGATCAACAAGATTATGAGCCTCTCTCATGATGATGATGATCAAAGTCAACCCACTCCTTCCCCCTTGCTGCTCTTAAGATGATGATGATGATAACGATGAAGGTGATAAAAGTCAACCCCTCCTTTACCCCTTGCTGCTCTCAAGATGATGATGATAACGACGAAGGATGATTAAAGTCAGCCCCTCCTTGCCCCTTGCCTCTCTCATGATATGATGAAGAAGATGATTAAGGTCAACCGCTCCTTCCCCATTGCCTCTCTCATGATGACGATGATGATGATTAAAGTGAACCCTCCTTCCCCCTTGCCTCTCATGATGATGATGATCAAAGTCAACCCCCCTCCCCTCCCCAATCATTTTCCTCAGTTCGTTTGTTCACCCGCTGTTATCCTTGTCGAAGTGCCGGAAGGCCTCGTGGAGGTGCTCCTCTCTCTCTAGCCTGTGCCTGTGCATGGTGGACGCGACGAACTCCCGGTAGTCGATCGCCCCGTCGCCATCTAGGTCGGCCTGCGGGGGCAACAGCAAGATCACGCACATCTGACTGTCAAAAAAAAAAAAACGAAGGGAGCTTTCTGGGGGTTTCCGGCTTCTGACGGCGTGCAAGAGGCGTTTGACTTCGGAGTCGGGGAGCTTTGACCCGAGGCGGATCAACCCCATTTTCAGCTCCTCGTGGGTGATCGTCCCGCTCCTGTCGGTGTCCATGCCAGCGAACATCTGCTTCAGGCCCTGGATGTCCTCCTCTGAGAGGTTGGCGGCAATCACCTGGCCGCGGGAGGTCAATGAGGATCGGAGGGAGCTTCAGAAAATGGAAGGGGATCGGATCGGATCGGGCGGCGACTCACCGCCAGCGCCATCTTCTTAAGCTTGTTCATCGCCGTGAACTGCTGCATTCTTGAGAGGACGACGCAGTCGATCGGCTTCTCCGAGGCGTCTCCGTTCTCTCTTATCCATGGATGCTCTGCATGGCCGTTCGCAGACGACAGTGAATCCACTAGAGGGAGAGAGTAGAGAGTGAGAGAGAGAGAGAGAGAGAGAGAGAGAGAGAGTGACCGAGGACTTGGGAGGCTGTGATTCGCTTCTTTGGGTCTCGGGTGAGCATCTTCCTGACCAGGTCCTTGGCGCTGTTTGAGATTGAGGGCCAGGGGTCGGTCTCGAAATCGATGTAGCCCCTCATGATGGCTTCATATATCCCCCTCTCGGACTCTGCAAACCTCAGCCCCTGTGAGTAAACATCTCGGGGAGAAAGAGAGAGTGGGTCCTCTGATGAGAGGAGGAAGAAGCCGGTGGCGGATTTACCGGCCCAGAAAGGAGGGAGACCGCAGACGAGCATGTACAGGATAACTCCGGCGCTCCAGACGTCCACCTCCTTGCCGTAGTCCCCCCGGAGGACCTCCGGCGCCACGTAGTAGCAGCTCCCCACCCCATCCTTATATCTCTTCCCTATACAACTCAGTGTCAGGATAACTAGAACAACAAATAAGTGAATAAATTACAATTATCCCGGGATTAAAAGGTTGGGAAAAAAAAATTCAAGGGTTTTCGTGAAACCCAGGAGAACAGACCCGATCACATAAACCCCAAATTTCTGGAAATTTTCATTATTGATTGACTGTTTTCGATAATTCGTTTTTTTAGTTTAATTATTTCGGTATGAAGAAAATGAACCCTAAATATGTGGAAGTTTTTGAATAAAATAAAACTGAAAATAGAAATAGAAAAAAAGCCCATTCTCGGATGCTGTTTTCCAAAATATTCAAACATGGGTTCTGAGAATAAAATCAAAAAAATATGGACAATTTATTTGGAAATTAACTTTCACACGCTCATAGTCTACTCGACTGTTTCGGGAAATGGGAAACAGCCGATGGAGTAGACCCGAGATCAGTTAGTCAACTGCTCGAAGGAAAAAGTCCAAAGATATAATCCACAGACAACCCAATAAGCTATTTTATGAGACAATTTTAACCAAAACTAGGCTGATCTTTCCCAAAATGGCGATCCAAGAACTGAAAATGGCGGCATCAGAATCTTACTCTCGGAAATGGCATTCCCAAATTATCTATCCACACAGAAGAAGCTAGATGATGGATCCACCAGGAAGTGGAGCACTGGGGAAGGAGGGAGAGAAGATGTTCAACCTTCCTCGATGAAGACGGAGAGCCCGAAGTCCGCCACCTTGATCGCCGCATCATCTTCCGGCCCAGAGAGCAGGAAATTCTCCGGCTTGAGGTCGCGGTGGATCACCCCCATGAAGTGGCAGACGTCCACCACGTTGACAATCTCCCGGCAGGCGGCGGCGGCGGCCTTCTCAGAGTAGCTCCTCCCGGCGGCGTTGCGGCTGCTGATCCTCTCGAAGAGCTCCCCACCGGCGCAGAGCTCCATCACCAGGTGCACGCAGCCGTAGCTCTCGTAGGCCCCCTTGAACTCCACCACGTTAGGCTGCCCGCTGAGATGCTCCATTATGAGGACCTCCCTCCTCACGTCTTCCCTGTCGCTCTCCTTCAGGAGCTTCCGCTTGGGGATCGACTTGCAAGCGTACAGGCGCCCTGTGGCCTTCTCTGTGCAGACGCTGGTTACCCCATACTGGCCCCTTCCGAGCTCCTTCCCCATTGTGTAGTGAGCCTTTACGTCTTCGTAGGGCCTGCCCAGGATGGCCCCGGGGGGTACAAGAGGCTTGGAGATCGGAGGAGAACTGGGCTCAGGAGCTCCTTCCACATGGTGTCCATTGCTAGCCTCATCCGGCTTCTTCTTGCTCTTGCTCAAACACAACCCCATCTTCTCCTTCTTCTTCCTTCCTTGTTCCTTTTTCTTTCTTCCTTTCTTCTTCCTTCTTCCTCCTCGAAAATCAAGACGACAGACAGCTGAATCAACCCGAGGATTCGAGCTCTTCCGATCGATTCCACCGGCGGGGTAGAGGAAACTCCGTGCCCAGAAGAGAATTGAGCGGGGATAAAGAGAACGGGACGAGCTCAGAGCCCGGAGGAGGAGGAGGATCTGATGAGGGATAGTCAACGCCCAGTGTCCATGGGGACCCAACTGCTCCACTCCGCCAGAATAATTTCAGGATTACTTACCCCGCGCCTCTCGCTGTCTGCCCCATCTGTCCCTTCCTCTCGTCAGCGACAGCCAAGGAAATGCTCGCCCGCAACCAGAGCTCTTCTTCCGCAAGACTGCGATGGCGATTGGAGCTCTATCCTGGCAAGAGGCCGATGGCGACGAGAGAAGCCGGAGTAGGAGACAACGCGTACGAGGCTCATACATTTACCAAAACAGACCCTAATATGTATTTAATTCTTGAAAAGCATCAGCACTTCAAAAATTAAAATATCACTTTTTTGGGCAAAAGATAAGATTACATTGAATCAAGTTCAAAATTTTCAGATAATTAAAATTTATATACCTAACTGAAGAATAATTGCGTATGAGGTCTCATGTATTGACCTTTGGACGGCATAGTTTTGATATTTTTCATGTGCCCGGTTGATTTGTATTTTTTTATTTAAGTCCCCGTTGTCAGTACGAAATTTATGTGAATCTTGGTGCGGCGTGCGCACGTGGACGTCATTGTCGGGTGCCGGTCACCGTTTTCTGGGTTTGACAGTACTGTCCCTTTCTCGAGGATGAATGGACGGACGGTGAGATTAGTCAGTGAGGAGACCGAAACTCCGACGACTTTGCGCCGCCGACACTTTAGGCCAATCCCACGTGTCAAAATCGGAGGGGCTGGCATCCGGGCCAAGATCCGATACCCGATATAGTGGTCGATAATGATATCCAATTATCTAGCCTTAGATCTCAACAACTCTGTTTATTTGCTAATAAAATTTATTTTCTCCATTTTTTAGAAATTCTAAAAATGTTTATAAAAAATAGTTTTTCCATTTCCACGATTTTTCTCTCTCATGATCAGGTCGTACAATTTTAATAATTGTGTGTCAATGATTTATTATCATGATTATAAAATCACACATGTTATCTACCTTTCATGAAGTTATGTATTAATTTAAATTCATTTATTAATGGGAGTAAGGGAAAACATTAATAGAAATAAATCGATTTAAAAATTGCCGACAACGGGAAGAAAAAACGTTAATGGGCTTTTATTTCTTGGAGGCCCAACTAGAAGATTAATAGCGTTAATGGGTCTCATGCTCGTTGTGATGAAGCTCATGCCACGTAAGGTCGGACCGGGCTGAGCCGCCGGTCCAGGCGGTTCAATACCAGTCCGGTTCATCAGATTAGATGAACCCGATGAGGGGGGGTTTCTGAAATTTTCCTTCTCTCATGAAAATGGACAGGTGCGCTCCCTCTCACAGTTCGCCGCACGCCCTAACCGGCTACCCTCTCTCCTCCCCTTCTCTCTCTCTCTCTCTCCCTGTTCTCTCTGCTGTGGGGGAAGCGTCGTTTGGAGATCATCGGATGCCATCCAGCCCTAGGTTCACAGAGTAAGGTGTGTAAACGAGTGTCTTATGGTCATCTCTTTGAATGGTCCTCCGGACATTTTGCGATGTTGAGTATAAACTCGGGTTGATGGGATCAGTGATGCGCCTGGGTCCTTTTTGTCTTCATTACCCGGAAGAGAATCCGTTTTGCAGCGTGTGTGGAGCTCGTCTGTAGGCGCGTTTAGGTTAGTTGGGGAATGATCCCGCCATTCAGTTTTCCCGTTTTCAGATTTGGCTTTCGGCGGACCTTCTCTGTGATTCTTTAGAGAATCAGATTTTTTTTTGTTGAATGTTGATTGCGGAGGGCGTCTAGAAGACGGGACTCTCGCTTTTCTTTCCCAAAAGAAATTAATGTCATGGTCTCACCTTTTTTCCTTTTTTAAAATTTTTTTAATATCGATAGTGCGGTCGATCAGAATTCCTTCCTTGTTGCTATTAAGTTTCTAGATTATTTTTTTCCCTGGTTCTAAATCACGATGTAATCGGTTCGGCACCTGACTCTTTTTTGCAATTGTTAGTCAGTGAGACATTGAATCTGTGTCTGGAGCTTCTTGTCAGTTGAACAGAGTTAAATCTTTCTACTGTTAGCGGGATAGATTTTATGTTTTATTGGCATATTCGATGGATTTGCTATCACTGAGAACCATGCTCCATTCATTATAGAAGCTGATGGTGCGCATTTTATGCTCCTTACATTTGTTATTTTCAATTGCATGGAAGATGCCTAGATTCAGTTTTTTTAGCTCTTCGAATAATGTTTTTAATCTGTTTTGATGGGATTGGATGATAGAGCCCGTCTTGTGTATGAGGATTGCCTACATGACAAGTGGGCCAACATAGCTGATTATGTTTTCTAATTTCTAAGACATAATTTTTTCTGTATGCTTGATTTAGCTGGATATATCGTTTATTTGCTGCGATTTTCAGTACTTGATTGAACCTTCACAGTAGAAGACCTTACTTCCCATTTCAGACAAGGTACAAAGTAGTATAAGAGAACCCAGAAATATACACCACCTAAGAACCATTTTTTTATGGCATCAGATCGTTATCCAATTTTTTCTGCAGTCTTAGTAACTCAGGCTTGTAATGTGACGTCATAGTCCTTACCTTTCAACTACATGGCAGGTCGATAATTTTAGTTATTTTTTACTATAAATATGCAGATTGCAACCGTAATCAAAAAGTAACCGAATGCGGTATCAAATAGACATTAGAATCCGAATTCAGCTATTTGTGGTGGTGAAGAGTCTAAGTTATGTGCAATGTTATGAAGGGGGAGAAGAGGACTCCCATGCAATGTGAGAATTCCCTCTGCATTTTTTCCGTTGCAAAAGTAATGTCCATCACTTTCTGGAAAAAAAGTCGCGTGTCCATGAGTAAGGGAGAAAGTTTAATCATTTTTTGGTGAACTACCTCAAAATGAACTTCTATATAGAAAAAAAAAATCCAACTTAATAGTTTCCCTGTAATTATTGAAAATTATGCAATACAGTTCATGTGGCTTATAAAATATCTATCGGAAGTTGTCAATGAAGAAGAAATAACAAATATTTCAGACATTGCACCACTTGTTTTCATATTCTTAGATTAATAGTCTTTGTAACTCTGAAGATCTACAATTTTAAGTCAAATAAGTGGACGTTTTCTATGGCAGCCATACTTGTGAGTGCTATTTTTACCCTTATTTTGGGGCTAGAGTTTAAAAAATTCAGAAAAACTGACAATTAAAAGCATGTGATCAAGCTTGACTGAAACAGAATTCCACTTGTAATTTGCTCAAACATTAGCTCCTTTATGAAAATTTCTTCTGTTGTGGAAAGATCTTCTGAGCGCCCAGGGGAAGGTGGGGGGGAGGCAAGTTTCGTTTTTTGACTGATAAGATTCAGTTTTGTGCTGTATTGATTTGATGTTTCTCTGTCCTAGGCCTGGTTAGAGTTTCATTTTATGGGGGACTTTTTCAGTGGCTCACTTTTGATGGATAGTATGTAACGGTGCTTCATTTAATTATAGTTCCTTTGTGCTTCTTACACCACGCAAAAAAAGGATTCATTAGTTTCTCATAGCATTCACCCTTATCCCATCAATATGTTAGATTCTGGGCATGATTATTAGCGAGAAAGTTACAAGGGTTTAATTTGATTAATGTTTGGTTGGCCGGACATGTTGATTTATGCTTAACTGTTAACTTTGATTTTGTGATTACAGTTTCTGGCTGACATGGGTCCAAGTTCACCTGATAGAAGTCGTGAAGTTGCTGAAAGTCATTCTGAATTGGATCTCAACCGTGTCACAAACAAGGATGACGTGGATGTTCCCAAGCATAATTATCTGAAAGAGGACAAGAATCATCTTAAGCGCCCCGAGTCATATCCCAAGGTTTCCTCCGATGTTAACCGTGATAAAATTGTTTCTCATCTTGCTACGTCTGATTCAGACATAATAAAAGGATCTTACTTGCAATCTGGCTTTGCCCATGATGACAAGACTGGAGGTACGTTGAGCTCTGAGGGGCAAGAGTCTCCTACCGATGTCAGGAATTACCGTGCTGAAGATGACTATGGTGATTCTCCTACTCAAAAGAAAAAAAACCTCGAAGAAATGGAAAATGGATGCTCGAGAGTTGATTTGCAAGATACTTCTTTTAGGGTTGTTAATGACAGACATCAAGAGGTTTTGGAAAAGGAAGATTATATTGGACAGAGTCATGAACCAACCAATCCATTTACTAGTGATAGTCCGGGGAAAACAGAGTTTCATAAGAAACAAGTTGACAATGAGAAAAATCTGCCAGGTGAGTCCGATGTTTGTTTTCCTCAGGCATCCCCAAAAAGTTCAGCGTCCCCAGCAAGAGAGAGCTCCTTTATTCCCGAAAGGTCTCCACAAGTTCGACCATCAGAGGAAGAGGGAAGATATTCAGATGCAGACCAAAATAGAGCATCACCAGATTCTACTTCCTCTCCTAGACGGGTGCATTCACCGTCTCCAAGAAGGCCTGGTGGAGGTCACAGACGATCTCCATCCTATGACCACATATCTCCAACTAGACAAAGAAAATCTTCTTCCCCAGTAAGAACACCTCTTAGAGATTCTGATCAGAGGATTGATTCTCCATATAAAAGAAAAAGGTCTTCTTCCCCCAGAAATATATCTCAGGAAGATTCCCGTAATGTCATTGATTCTTCCAGGAAGCGTTCACGTACTTCACCACAAAGAAAAGATTCACCACAGAGACGAGATTCACCAAGAAGGAGAGATTCCTCACAGAGAGGAGATTCTCCACGAAAGCGCAGTTCACCACGGCGACGAGATTCACCACGAAGGAGAGATTCGCCACGGAGACAGGATTCTCCACGGCACCGAGGTTCACCTGGTGGTGATTCTCCCCAGAAGCGTCTATCTGCATCTCCACGAAAACGAGATTCATCTCAGAGGAAGAACAGATCAATTTCGCGATCTCCACCTGGGAGAAGAGATTCATCTGGGTATAAAAGAGACCGTCGAGACCGATCTCGATCAAGATCCCCATATGGAAGGGATCATCATAGGAGATCCCCAAGGTGAAACTTGCTCCATTATTATTGATCAGCCTTTATTTCTTTCATTGGAATTTTTGTTCCTCTCTAAACCCCTATTTGTGATTTGACTGCTGGGTGGGAATTAATTTTCTTATCAATGTAATTTTTTTCTAATTTTCTCGGTGTATTTTCGTAGTTATAATTTTTTTTGTGAGTGCTGCATGGTTCATTTCTACGTACCAATAGTAGATATCTGGAATCTTATTTCGAGTCATTTCACCGGTTTTCGTACCTGTTCATTTATGCTCAACTTGTTTGCTGGCCAAGGGTTTTTCTTGTTAAGTATTCATTTCATCCTATATTTAATAATTCATTATTTTGTGTTATTATTAGCAAGTGATTCTTGTTTTGTTTTTTTTGTTTTTTTTGTTTTTTTTTACTTACTCTTTAAAGCTTTTTCCTCCTTTGCCAGATCTACATTATTCTAAAAAGTTTAGATCTAGCTTTTGTATTCATATTTGCTATGATGTTTTTTAATGTGATATCTGATGTATTCTAGGAGGCGGCATTCTCCTAGGCGTAGGTCTCCTTCTCCAGGCTATCATTCTCGTCGCCATTCTCCAAGGAGGAGGCCTTGGTCTCCTCCCTCTAATCGCAGTACTGGTGTGGGTAGACCTGGCAAAAACTTGTTTGTTGCTGGGTTTAGCTTTGTTACTACAGAGAGAGATCTAGAGAAGAAGTTCTCTCGGTTTGGTCGTGTTACAGATGTTCGGATTGTTCGGGACAAGAGGTGCCCTCTTTGTACTTTGAAATTTATTATGACAACTTAAAATTATGATTGGTCATGGCATGCATCAGTTGTCGTTATTTGTTATTAATTTACTCAGTCATTTAATTCCGTGGATATTTATTCATTGATGTCTTATTAATGATAGCTTGTGATTCCATGCTATTTAGTGTTCTTGTGAACAAATTATGGTTGCCAATTTAGCCTCTTAACAATTATGACTTCCGCCGTCCTATTTGCCATTGGTTTCTTCCATGTTTCGTCAACCCATGGCAAATCTGTTTTTCATACTGTATTATTATCTTTTGTTATTGCAGTTCCTCTCAATCATTGCCTCTCTTTTCCTATAAGAAGCGTCTTGTGATTCCTATTTTCCAAGTGCCATTTTGGGCATTTTGAATATGGACAAGTAATAAGTAACTATTCTGGACTAGATTTTGGAGGGAGTCACCTTATCTTTCTCCCACTGACAATTTCTTATCTTCTACTAGCCTTTCTATTTCTCGATTGCTAAAAGAAGAACAGATATTAAACTTTCCATCAGATGATAAGAACACAATCCTCATATTCTTTCTTGTCATGGATTCTCTGTGCATCGATTCTGCGTTTCTTGAAAAGTATGGGGGCAACTCTGGATGAATTAATCAGATGGGCCTAGATTTCTCATATTGCCGATTGCATTCTCTTACTACATCAGGCAATTTATTTTTTTTCCCCATTTCTTTTGGCCATTATTTCCTGTGTTAATTGTGCTGCTGGTGTTCCGTTCACTGCGATCTATACTTCCCCAATTAACTATTTATTCTCTTTGCGCGGTCAAGGTCGGGGGACTCCCGCGGCTTCGGATTTCTATCCTTGGAAAAGGACGAGGAAGCTGATGCAGCCATTCGAGCTCTAGACCAGACCGAGTGGAATGGCCGGATTGTTCTGGTGGAGAAGGCTAAAACCTCCGTTCGCTAAGTCCTGAAAAACCAGTTCCTACACTCGGTGATGGTGGGGCATCCATCCTGTTGGGCCTCCTGGTTGACTTCTCCATTATATCCCATTTTCCTTTCGCTGTGATATGCTATTATAGGTTATATATCATGAGACCAGATTCCTCACAGCCTGTATCAGATGCTTCCTTATATTGCCCGAATTTTATTTCCGTTTCAGTTGACTGGAGAAGCATGAAAAACTCACCTTGTTCGGGTATTGAAGCTAATACTAGCCATCTAATGAGACTCTTTGGTTGACTTTTTGCTGTTCCCTCTGACTTATTCCCGCCCCATTCTTTTTGCTCTTCATTTTGCCCAAGTGCTCTCTTAAACAGCAGGTTGCACTCACTGCAGGGGGTCTCTGCTTGTTCCTAGCTCTCTCAGAACCCTTAAAATCAGAGGCATTCAGAGGCTCTTCCATGCCGACTCTGCTCCTCCATTCTACCAATCGATGAGCTGTTGTGCCATTCAGAACCCCCATCATCCTGAACCCCGGAGCCACTGACAGCCGAAAGCTACCACCCTTAAATGGACGACTGACTGACTGCATGGGCAAGGATGGATGGCTTCTCCTCAAACCCCCTAACATTGTTTCTTTATTTAGTCATTTCCCTTAGTCTGTCTGATGAACTATGACTCTTGATAGAATGCTTCATAAATTCTTAGCTTTGCTCTTGATTTTGTTTTCTCTCGTGTTCTTTCTCATGAACTGAAAATCGGTCAAAAAATAGAATCGGTGGTCACATTCTATTTCATTTGTCGACATACCCAACATACATCGAATGCATCATAAGTTCTTAATCTTGTTCTTGATTTCGTTATTTCTAGCATTCTCTCTCTCATGAACTGAAAATCGGTCAAAAATAGAACCTCTGGTCACATTCTATTTCATTTGTGGGCATACCCAATCATAAACTGAATGCATCAGAAGTTCTTAATCTTGTTCTTGATTTCGTTATTTCTAGCATTCTCTCTATCGTGAACTAAAAATTGGTCAAAAATAGATGCAGTGGTCGTACTGAATGCCTGATGAACAGTGACACTAGATGATGCATTCTGAATTTCGTTCTTGATTTGGTCAAAAATAGAATCCGTGGTCATACCCAACAGAGACTGGATCTCTGATGAACTACGACTCCAGATAGAACTCTTGATGAGTTCTTAAGTTATCTCCATTGCTCTCTCTAGTGAACTAAAAATTTCTCAAAATAGAATCCTCGGTCAGATATACTGGGTGTCATTTGCGGCCATACCCAACAGATATACTGGGTGTCGGATGAACTACGGCTCTGGATGGAATGCTTCACATGTTCTTAATTTTCTTCTTGATTTCGTTATTTCTAGCATTCTCTCATGATCTAAGAAATTGTCAAATGGAATGCAACGGACACTGAATATCTGTTGAACCATGACTTTACATAGAATGCGTCCAAGTTCTTAACTTTGTTCTTATTTTTCGTTATTTCTAGCTCTCTCTCTCTCTCTCTCTCTCTCTCTCTCTCTCTCTCTCTCATGAACGAAAAATTGTTCAAAAATATAAGCCATGGTCACATTCTATTTCATTGGTGGCCATACCCAACATACGCTGGATGTCTGATGATTGGGGACTTATGGTCAACCTTTTGCTTCGAACAGCACACCTCGAGAGCCTCGCCCGACCATCTGTCGGTACATGGGATGTTGTTACTGTGGAGAGCGAAATTCGTGCGGCGGCGGCTTTAGTCTTCTTCTGTAGGCTTTGGCCTAGGGACAGAATCCTGCGTCACCCGCAGGGATATATTTACAAGCTTCTGATCTCTCTCTCTCTCTCTCGCTAGTAATCCTGCGTCCCCTCATGGAGATATTTACAAGCTCTCTCTCTCTCTCTCTCTCTCTCTCTAGTACTCCTGCGTCCCCTCATGGAGATATTTGCAAGCTATGATCTCTCTCTCTCTCTCTCTCTCTCTCTCTATCTCTAGTAATCCTGCGTCCTCACATGAAGATATTTACAAGCCATGATCTCTCTCTCTAATAGTCCTGCGCCCCCACATGTAGATATTTACAAGCTGTGATCTCTCTCTCTCTCTCTCTCTCTCAAGTAATCCTGCGCCCTCACATGAAGATATTTACAAGCCGTGATCTCTCTCTCTCTCTCTCTCTAGTAGTCCTGCGCCCCCACACGGAGATATTTACAAGCTGTGATCTCTCTCTCTCTCTCTCTCGCTAGAGTAATCCTGCGTCCCCACATGGAGATATTTGCAAGCTATGATCTCTCTCTCTCTTCCTCCCTCCCTCCCTCTCATTCTCTGTCTCTCTAATATTCCTGTGTCCCCACATGGAGATATTTACAAGCTGTGATCTGTGATCTCTCTCTCTCTCTCTTTCTAGTAACCCTGCGCCCCCCACACGGAGATATTTAGAAGCTGGATCTCTCTCTCTCTTCTCTATTATATACTAACCCTGCGTCCCCACATGGAGATATTTAGAAGCTGGATATCTCTCTCTCTCTCTCCCGGTTGCCTGTGGTTCTGCCACATGGTCTGTGATTCGGGGTGGGGAGGGATCTGGTGGGGCCCCTTAAGAATAAGATACCTTCATAAGCTTAAATTACGGCATAAACCCTGCCGGAAACTAGGTCTGAGCGTGTGGCCGGAGGAGCCCTGCTCGGTCCTTGTACTTACCATAACTTTCGTCAACACCGCCAATGGAAGGTATTTTATGGATATGCCCTCGGGTTACACCTCTAGTGTTTCGGAATCTGCCACATCCTGGGAGGGGCTCATAGTAATAAATGCCTCTTATTTATTGAGAAAAGTAAGAATTCCGGTTGATTATGGTTAAATGAAGGATGGTCCGTGGACCAAGGTCGGTACACGTAATGAACCGAAATATGTCAACTTCGGAGGTACTTATTCAATTCGAAAAAGGCATTAGGGACATGTGAGTAAATGTGATCATTCCCAATTTTCTCTGCCTCAGTCTGATCGCCAGCATGATTTTATTAATTATCGATATTTACAATACATGAGATTATTTATTTATTTATTAATAAATAGAAGCAAAAGGGGGCCGGCAAGTGGGGGTTTTGACCCCATTCAATGGGTAGTGCTAACCACTAATAGTGATGTAATATTTTTTATTTGTCACCTAGTTTCTGGGTGTGACAAAATGACATTGATCTTGTGATCCCATGGTTCAATGACGCCAAGAAATTTGCAATACTGCCCCTGAAGAAGAGGGGCCATGCATGCCCCTTGTGTAAGGGGCAGTAAGCTAATTTTAATTGTTTGCAGAATAAATGCGTTTATCTTAGTTTTGAAGTAATTAGGCCCCTTGTGTAGGAATAAAGGACATCATGGCCTGTTGCAGAAATTATCGGGCATATGATTGAAATATGGTGAAATTGGAGGTACCACATAAATTGGAATAGTATTGAGAACTTATATATAAATATCCTTGCAATGCCGTTAACCGACGAGGTTGGCCTTTAGTGGCCATTTAATGTTTCCCCGCCATTGATTAAGTGCAGAACCTAAAAGCTGTGCTACCCTCCTTTGATGGATGAGAGAGAGAGAGAGAGAGAGGGCAGGGGGGATGGGTGGATGTTGAGAACTGAGTCTCTCCTTCTAGAGAGAGAGAGAGTGGGCGGGGGAGAGAGAACTGAGATGTCGATTGACTCCCATACTCTCTCCTGTGCTACCCCCCGCTACCCTCTTTCTTTCTCTTTCTCTCTCTAGAGAAACAGAGGGAGAGAGAGGGCAGGGTCTCTCTTTCCACTCTCTCCCTCTGTCTCTCTAGAGAGAGAAAGAGGGGGCGGGGGGATGGGTGGGGATGTTGAGAACTGGGTCTCTCTTTATACTCTCTCCCTCTGTTTCTAGAGAGAGAAAGAGAGGGCAGGGGGGATGGGTGGATGTTGAGAACTGAGTCTCTCCTTCTAGAGAGAGAGAGAGTATGGGAGTCAATCGACATGAATGAGAAATTTCAGTGTCCAAATACCCCCGGCAACCTTAATTTCCTATGATTGTTGATCGGAACGAGGGGAGGATTATGGCATTTGTTTTAAGGAAAGTAAAAACTATATTCATTCCTCCCGAAATCTTCCTCCACTTTCCTTATTTTCAATAACTCACTCCACCCTTTTTCAAAACGGATGAGCAATCGTAAGACCATGGGAAATATGATTCTTCCAGTCTCCGAATAATAAAGTTCTTCAGCACTCCACCTCCACTCAAACTTCCTAGTATACGTAAAATTTTTAGAGGGGTATAAATAGATAACAAGACGTAGGCGTATACATGCATGGTACCGTGGTATGGATTGATAGAGGGCTGCGCCGCCCCCCGCCCCCACCCTATTTTCCGTCTCCTCCCCCTAGGGACGGCAAGCGACATTGAATACCAGCGAGCCCACACGGGGCGCCTCTTCTTTCTGCCGTCGGCGGCATCTCCAGGGTTTGAATGTTTCTCTCGGTTCGGCCGCCATCAAAGGAGCCGGCGGCGCCAGCGAGGTTTTCGGAGTTCCCGACCCGCCACGAAAAGCGCGGCCTTGAAGAGCACCAGCGCCGCGAATTGATTGGAGGGCAGCCCTCCCCCAAACACCGCTTCTTCCCCCCTGCGGCAGCGGCAACGGCGGTGGCGGAGAATCCCGGCCGAGCCGTCCCTCCGGCCCACCGGATTCGTCGCCATCGCCGGTTTTCCGTGCGGAGCTTCCGTTGGCCGAGTTATGGCTACGGGCCAGCCCCCCCCCGGCACCTCTCTCTATCTCTCTTTCTCTCTCACTGAGTTTAGTTTATCCATAGTCCTATATATTTTCTTCTTCAAGGCTCTCTGTCTCTCTCTCTCTCTCGCTTGCTCTCGCTCGCTGTCGCTCTCAACAGTTTGAGGCTTTCGGAAGGGCTTTTATGGTTGAGAGGGGGGAGAAGGAGAAGAAGGAGAAACCATGGAGGCGTCACCGGGGCAGCGAGTTGCGGAGATTTGCGGCTCGGGAATAGGATCCTGCTTCAGGGCTTCCAAGATGGTCGTCTTTGGTGGCTTGACGTGCACCTTCGCCGTCGGTGAGCTTCTCCTCACTCTCCTCCGTCTCTCTCTCTCTCTCTCTACTGTAACTCCAGCTCGCAAATGGCAGACAGAACCATTTGCTCCCACTGCTCCCCTCTTCCCGAATGCTTGGAGTTCGGTGACGTACTCTCCCACTTCTGACTCTCTCTCTCTTTCTTTCTCTACTGTACAGGCGGCGCTGTCGTCGGAATCGTCTCGGGGGCTCTCAAGGGTCAGACAACGGAGACCGGTCTGCTGCGGGGGGCGAGCATCGGCGCCGTCGCCGGCGCCCTCGTCTCCGTCGAGCTCCTCGAGTCCCTCCTCCTTGGAGATCTCCTCTCCAAGGTCACTCTCTCCTCCATCTACCATCACCGTCGACGCCCACCGGAGCTTTCCTTCTCTAACCAAGGTGGTCGTACCCGCTCTGCAGATCGCCATGTTCGAGAGCCTCATCGACGGGAAGATATTCCGGGAATGGGTGAGCCCGGCGATGCTCAAGGCGTACCAGTGGCAGGTAGAGAGGAAAAATCCTAGACCGGAAGTCGCCGAAGACGGCGAGAGTTCGGAAGCTGATTCCACTCCTCCGTCTCTCGCAGGTCAGCAACGTCGACGATGGGGGAAGGGAAGTCTCTGACGTCTTCGACACCGCCGGCGCCACCGGCATGTCTCCGGAGGCCGTACGGCGGCTCCCCAAGCTGGAGGTCTGCTCCATGTCCGCCGTGGAAACACTTCCAGAGGGGACTACCTGCGCAGTCTGCCTGCAGGTGAGAGAAAGAAACCGGCCGGTAGGTCCAATTAGGTTTCTGGCAATGGAAGAATCACCCAATTTCCCTGCCGACCGAATCCCTGATCAACGATGCCAACCCAAGCAAAGTCGCCACCAAAAGGAGTCGTCTTGCCCAAGAACTGCCTTGAATTCCGTCGGATTCTCTCTCTAGAACCGCCCAGAGAGAGAGATAGAGAGGGAACCTCTCTCTACGAATCACTCAGTCCTTCCACCACAGCCTCTGCTCACCTCCCCGGACTCTACTAAATAACTAATCCACGTTCACAACGCCACATAGGCCTCTCTCTCTCTCTCTCTCTCTCTCTCTCTCTCTCTCTCTCTCTCGCTCGTTAAAACTCATGGAAACAATCGTCTTGGCTGGGGCGGCAGGATTTCAAGAACGGGGAAAGCACGAAGAGGCTACCGGTCTGCTGTCACCTCTACCACGCCGCCTGCATAGATGAGTGGCTCCTCCGGCACCGCTCCTGCCCCCTCTGCCGGCGGAACCTGTAGAGTCCCCCCTCCCTCCGGCGAAGAAGCTCCTCCCTCCGGCGAGAAGCTCTTCCCTCCCGCGAAGAATCTCCTTCCTCCGGCAAGAAGATCCTTCCCTCTGGCGAGAAGCTCCTTCCTTCCGATGAGAAGCTCCTCCCCCCCGGCGAGAAGCTCCTTCTTTCCGGCAAGAAGTTCCTTCCTTCCGTCAAGTAGCTCCTTCCTTCCCTCCGGCGAGAAGCTCCTTCCCTCCGACGAAGAGGCTCCTCTCCTTTTCTCTCCTCTCTTCTCTTCTCCGGCGGGTCGACCCCACGGTATGACGCCATATGTGGGGACATCTGACGGAGGCTTCTTCGAATCAGTTAACGACGCTCATCACTTCCGGAGGCCCCTTCCTCCCTGACAGCGTAGCTTGGGAAGATTCTCAGAAACACTCTCTCTCTCTCTCTCTCTCTCTCGCTCTCTCCTAGCCTCCCTCTCTCTATATCCCTCTCCCTCTCCATCTATATGTGCACATACCTGTAAATAATCCGAATTTCTATGCCATATATGAGATTCACCAGGTCTCAACTTAGCACCGGTCTTGAATAAGGCACATGCGGGAGAGGAGAGAGAGGAGAGAGAGGAGAGAGAGAGGGGATCTTGGGTCGATCTGGGTCAGGACCGGGTTGACCTTGTCGACCAATTCATGACAAGAACACCCAGCACAGGACAAAAGTCAGGTTTTTATTTTTGTTAATATATACATTTTTAACCTATATTATCATATTAAATATTCATAATTTATTTAGGAAAATAATATAAAAAAAGCAAGGGAAGGTAGTGATGGCGGCACGCCACCCATCGCACCCACGATCGGTGTCAGCTGGTGGTAGGAGACGGCGGCTCCATGTTTTAGTGGGCCGGGCCACGTATACACGGTTGTTTTCCGGCCCATAAATCAGACGATCGGGCCCGACCCCTGCAGCTTCCGTACTTAAAGCGAGAAATCAGAGAGCGGGCTCAGGCTGGTAGCTAATCTTTTTTTCGGGCCGAACAGGGAATAATCGGGTCCGGCTACTTTTGGAGATGATATCCCTATTAATGTTTTTGAGAAGCGGGCTTGGCCCGGTTTTGCTTAGTATTGAGTTATTTTTTTGTCCCGAATGGGGAATAATCGGGCCCGGCCGGGCTTCCCATCGAAATGGAGTACCTAAGGGAATTTCTTTTACTTTCGCCGGGAATACTGTAGAATCGATTCCAGACAGAAGTGGATCGCGAAGAATCTAGCCTACCTCGTAGACCCTTTGGTCCGATAAGTAAGTCCGAATATTATGTCTGGGTAACCTATCCGAATCCGAATCCGAACCGAACCCGAGATTCCATCGGCGCCGACAAGGGCGAGGAGGTGGGATAGAAGGTGTCACAGCTGTCGTGCAGGGGAAGGCGACTGTTGCAGGTTTTCTCCTGATCTTGGTGCGGTTGCTCTCCCCGGAGACCTCAGCGGCCCTCTTTGGATTCCATTGGAGAGGTTATGCACCTGTCTCTGCATTCTCGTCAAGGTTTTTTTTCTGGGTGTCCGATTTTGCTTTGATTTCGGCGATCTGGGTCATTTTGCTTCTTGGGCGCTTGATGAGATTTTTGAGGAGAAGGTTGTCTCGTGGATTCGCGCAGTTTCATGGGCATCTGTTCTTGTTCATCGACCTCCGTGTTTATCCATTAGAGCAGGCCTTCGATTGCGTTGCACACATTGATTGAGAATAGCCCAAGGAGAGGTTCCCCTCGCCTTCACCCGAAGCTGTTTCTTCCTGCAGGTGGGAGTCCGGGTGGCATGGAAGGTGCTGTCGTCAGGAGGGTCATACCCTCCGATAACAGCTGTCTCTTCAATGCAGTAGGGTACTGATCAAGAAGAATATAAAAGAGCCCAATTTATAACAGCACGTGCATCAGACCAAAGAGTTTTGATCTCTTGGCTTTTCATGTTTTCTTTCTTCCTGCAACACAGGTACGTTATGGAGCATAACAGACACAAGGCATCAGAGCTAAGACAGGTAACGTCGAATATTTGCGAAGTTGTGACATGAATTCGTTTCGTTACCGAGGAATGATGATTCCGAATTTCCAGTCCTGAATTTCCCCCTCGATTGCGTTACCGATGAATGGTCATTTTCTTTAGTATCTGAGCAGCTTATAATTCTCGAGCTTTTCTTGTAAGGTCATTGCGGCAGCAGTAGCAAGTGACTCTGAGAAGTACAATGAGGCATTCCTCGGAAAACCCAATGGAGAATATTGCGAATGGATTCTCGATTCTGATAAATGGGGAGGTCAGAGGGTTTCAGATTACGACGCCTATAGATAGATAGATAGATGCTCGCTTATTATTGTGCATGAATTTTTTTTGTTTTATTAAAGAGTGGATCTTCAACTCATGCAGCATCATCGTTTTTGTGGAGATTTCGTTTCATAATCTTTTCATTCTTGATGCATAGGTTGTGATTTTCCTGGTTTCCATTGGGCATCCCTTAGTGACTAGGTTGGTAAACTCATAGGCATTTATATATACTTCAGAAAAGAATGACAGATAAATTTATCTATTCCTTTCCGCTGTTTAGTCCTGCCATTGCAAGTTTCAAAGACAGAAAAGCTTCTCCCATTTCCATTCACATCCCATTGATAAGCCTTGTGAAGCTGTATACAGTTGCTACAGAGTTACAGTTGCTGCTGATCTCTGCTCTGATTTGATAGCGTTTTGATGCGCTAAAACCACTGTGATTCTACTTAGCCCACTAGGTGCTCTGGTTGACGAAGAACAGAGTTTAATCTTCTACATTTGCGGCACAGTAGACATTAACACGGTTTCGGCTTGGTGATATAAGCTCTATTACATTCAAGTATTATGAATGTTTCAACAGCAATGGCAAGGCCGCAATTCGTATTAGAAGGTAAAAGAAAGGCTGTTGTGCAAATAAAGAGTAGATCCTTGTCGTTTACAGGGGTCCCTTACAGGGTTTGAGGCGGGAGATATCATCTTCTTGTCCAATTTATTGGTGCATTTTGGCATTATATACAGATAATCTCTCCTTATTTTTAAATCTATTTTTTTAAGCAATTTGAATAGTGAATAAATCCCATCCCGGAGGAAAATTGTTGTCTTTAGTATTCTTGCCAGAAATGCAATGTGGGGGACACCCGGATGGGAGGGAAATATTAAGAGACTTGAAGAGGGTTTTTCTATATGGTGCTCCACAGCTGGGAATGTTATAGAAATGATCAGGCTGTGGTGGGTGGGTCTTGGATGTTCCTTTTTATGACGATCAGATTGCTTCATTGGCCTCTGACAGGAATCAGCCCTAGGAAACCATGTGTGGTGCCATCAGGTGTGGCATAATCAGAAAGTTCCTTCATTGACATCATCGGTATAATCTTCACTCTGTAAAACTGATGGGGTTTCGCTTCTTATTTCCTCCATTTTCTCTCTTCATCCTTATTTCCCGCATGGTTAAAGAGAGTACTGATTAATTGTTGGGAAAATGGCGTTTTTTTTTTTTTTGTTGAAAATCCCTGCAAAATAGAAATGATGTTTTACCCGCGTTCGCATGCAAGGTGAAAGATTGCATGCTGGATTTATATGGAAATGGCGGAATGCTTAGACCAAACTAAAGCATTTTCGGAACTTTGATCTTTGAGCCACACATTCAGTTTGCCTGCTTTGATCAAGAGATGCCAACTCACTTTTTGTATCATTGGTTCCTCAGGTGCCATCGAGCTTTCAATATTATCAGAATATTATGGGCGTGAAATTGCAGCTTATGACATCCAGACGACCCGCTGCGATATATATGGCCAAGTGCGCATATATACATCTAAACTTATACTCCCATATATTTTTATTTTTATTTTTTTATTATTATTATTTTCTGTTGTTGGGTTCACCCACTTCTTGCCTTCTGATCCTCTTCAGGATATGAAGCACAAGGAAAGGGCCATGCTTATCTATGATGGCATCCATTACGATGCCCTGGCTGTATGTTGTCTTTGTGAACGCTTTTTAACCAAAGTATTTTCATTTTTTTATATTTTAACTTTGGAAACTCATGTATATAGTAGTGGACTTATGAGGGCTACTTTCCTTTCCATTCATCCAGTTCTCTCCATCTGACGGTGCTCCTGAAGAATTTGACCAGACGATCTTTCCTATTCTCAGCGATAGAACAATAGGCCCAGTTGAACGCCTTGCCCTTGATCTTGTGAAGGATTCAAACAGGTGAGGACCTCGATTTTCTTCCAAATTTATAGGCAAGCGTTCCTTTGATTATTTTGATTTTTCATGGAATTCCATATTATGCTTTAAACAATAGTCACTTTTTTTTTGCGAAAATTAAGACGTCTGATTTAGCCTCGAGCCCTGAAGAACATCTTGAATTTGAAAAAAGCGATTTTTTTGGAACTAGAAATAAGCTGCCTTTTCAGGACTACTCTCCTGCTTTATTTTTTATACATCTTTTCAGGACTAACATAACTTTTTGGTGACGAAAATATCCCTTCATCTTGCTGAGATTTCCAAGTCCTAGAAGGGGGGGGAGGGGATGCAGCCACCCACCTGCCAAATCGATGAGATACTTACCTCAATTTATGCGTGCATATCATTTCATAAGTCATTGCAACATCAAGAGGCTGGTTTGAGGAAGAACTAGGCTTATATATTCCTTGGCATGCTCCTGAACCCTCCCTCCATTTGGGGATTGGATTACCTTTCATTTGAGCTGGATTTGGGTAAATTTTAGCTCAATAGCTTGCTTTATGATTGCATCATCCAAAACGGTTTAGTTTGTTCTGTAGAGTGTTTGGTATGAATATTTTTAAAACATCGAAATCGAGTGATTTTACGCCTACATTTGTGAACTTGGAGACTACAAGAGAAGAAAGAAATATTCTTTGCTATGCTATCATGATAAAATGCTTGGATTCTGAGATGACCAATCGGGGGATGATCACCCAGGGATCGTGGCACAATCCCACGGCTGGAGAGATGAAGACTCTGTATTTTGGATCATTGGTCATGTTCTTATTCGAAGAAATTTATGAAATCACTGAGCATCGGTTTTGACTATCTTTTAGAACGAGAACACAGGCTTAGATCATCAGAGTTTCATCCGAGTTGACCCAGCTAATCCAGACAGAGTCGAGTCAACTTATTTGACCAAATTGGTTGAATGGTGGAACACAGCCCGTTAATGAAGTCATCCCCTGCTGTTATCTATCTCCCTGTCAGAGCGTTTTCAAATCAGTCGGCATTCCTGGATACATGTGAAGAACTGATGAACTGATGAATGAAACGCTCTGACATGAGAGCCTTTCACAATTTCTACTAAATGCCTTGGATTCTTGCGGATGATTGTAGAGTAATCAGTAATGTTCTTGACAGCAGCTGGTGGATAACATCTGAGAGGGTCCTAAAGCGGTGCAGAAGCTAAAGCTTCTTTGATTATATTCATGATTGAACTTATCAAATTATTCTTGAAGGTTGCAGTTGCTGGACATGATTTTGATCAGACCCTTTTTTCTTGTTGGCCTCGATGTTAGGAGGAGGAGCTACACCGACACCTCCAGCTTCACCCTCCGATGTGGGGTCTGCCAGATTGGGGTCGTCGGCCAGAAGGTCGGTCAGCTTCTACCGTAATGACTTCCTAAATTGCAACTGTTACAGTGTGTTGACTCCAGCCATCTCTCTTTTGGGTTGACTCTAAAACCCCACAGGAGGCGGTTGAGCATGCGCAAGCCACCGGGCACATGAATTTCCAAGAATATAAATGAGGAGAGAGAGAGAGAGAGAGAGAGAGAGGGGTGTTTTAGACGATTATTAATTACTGTAACTTTATTGATTGTTTTTAGTAGTTGAGCTCCGTTTTTAATGAGAAGATGGGTCAAAGCAAAGAGGGAGTGAACCACTCTCTCTTTTGATGAGGTCTTCTGGTCTCATTTGATGAGTGGAGGGGGGGGAGGTCTTGAGTTCGCTTCACCCTCTCTCTCTCTCTCTCTCTCTCTCTCTCTCTCTCTCTCTCTCTCTCTCTCTCTCTCTCTCTCTCTCTCTCTAAGAAATACTTTTTATGGCTTCACCACCACCCTCCACCTACGAGTTCGAAGCATTGGCTGGCCAGCAAATTATTAATATTATGACGATGATGGTTGGTATTATTGTAATATAGGTTAATATAATAGTATTAATCATCATATAATATAAAGTAATTATGGTCCCCTATCCCTTGTACGGTTTAATCCTACATCAGCTTCGGGGATCAGAGGGCGTAGAGTTGGGACTCTCATTAGACAGACTCTTCATTAAAAAATAATAATGGAAAAAAATAAAAAATGGTTAAAATCAGTAACCCCCTTTTTAAAAAAATAACATTAGAAATTTCAAGTCTGGCCCGAAAAGCCCACCCAATTATTGTTACTATTATTATTATTATTATTATTATTATTATTATTATTATTATTATTATTGGGATAAAAAGCATCCTCTGATGGGACGCGTTGACGGCGACGGCGAGCCACAGAGGCTGACCGTTACCGTCGGGGACCATCTCTGTTAGGCATTCCGGGGAACATCTGGTGTGCTCCGATTGGGGCACAGTCGTTCGTACTGTCCCCCCCCATGCGACCGAACGATGTCAAGACGAGAGAGAGAGAGAGAGAGAGTAGATAAAGAGAGGATGAAAAATGAGCGTAATTAATCGAGGAAAAGAAAATAAAAAAAGGCTTCGTAAATGGAATTTTGGCTTTTTTGCTCATTAAGTTATTAATTTAAAGCATATACAGAGAGAGGATGTCGGCTACATAAATAGAGTTGTACCGTACAACTCATATTATATTATATTATATTATATATTTTATAGAGAGAGAGAGGAGAGGGAGAGGAGAGAGGAGAGAGAGAGTCCATGAAGAGGATAAAAGTAGCAAGACTTGAATTTTTTTCACAAGTGAGGCGAATGTGGACCCCACCCACAACGTTGTGAATACATCTACTTTGGGAATCATGAATGGTTTACTGTTCTCGGGAGTCAACTCCTTGCGCACATCTACTTCTTATTATGGCAAGGACTTCATTGCCCTGAAAGTACGTGAGAGCATGATGGGAAAGTGGACTTTTTTATAGTCAAATTTCAATTAAAATAGCAAAAAAAATGGCCGTAGCCGTAAATAAATATAGATTTCTATGACTTTTAAAAATAAGAATGATTAAACGGACGCGGAGAATATTATTCATTGAAAAATCTCCCATTTTATGATTTTCATTATTTTGTGTGGCGAAATTTGCCAGAAAGGGAGGGGGGGTTTCGACTGACGCGCCCATAATGTGCTATTATGCGCCGAACCAGGCCCAGCGCCGGAAAAGCGGAGACGGAGATGAGAAACCCTAGAAACCTTCCCTCAGCACCTCTCAGAGCGGAGGGTAAGCTCCGGCGGCCGCGCCGCCGGGTGTCTCCGGTAACCTACGCCAGCCAACCAGAAGAGGCCGGGGGAGGACGAGGAGAGACGGAAGGACCCAGAAAGCCTCTCTGGTCCTCGTGCAGTGCGCCGGATAAAAGCTCGCCGCCCGTCATTAATGGCAGGGTGGAGAGGGGCGCAGTAAATGGTGTTCAAGTTGCAGAGGAGAGAGAAACGTCGTCGTATTCTTCCTTCCTACCCTACTACTCCCTCTGTTGCCTGCTTCCGGCTCGTGCACCTGTCGGAGCGGCAGAGCAGAGCCGCTAGGTGAGCTTTCCTCCGGCGATAACTCCAAAACCAGGAGTCGCTTTCCAGGAAAAGGTCACAGGAACCGGCCCACCACCAACCTCTCTCTCTCTCTCTCTCTCTCTCTCTCTCTCCCCTCCCCCGCCATGGATAGCGAGAGAGACAGGGAGAGAGAGAGAGGGTCAATCAATAATTGCTGCGGCGGAGCTTTGGCCATCTTCTCGATTCTCCCCTGCCGGGGGGGGCGCTCTGCTTCGGAACGGGAGCCGCCCGTCCAACAATGGCGGAGGGCGAAAGAATGGCGCTATTTACTGTGATTCTTGTTGATGCCACTGTCCACAGTAAACAGGAGCAACTTGAGAGAAAGAGAGAGAGAGAGAGAGAGAGAGAGAGAGAGAGAGAGTTAGAGAGCGCTAGAGAGAGAGGACCCATAAAAAATGGCAGGAGCAGAGAGATAGAGAGATAGAGAGAGAGAGAGGAGAGAGAGGAGAGAGAGGAGAGAAAGGAGAGAGAGGGAGAGAGAAGATGGGTCTCAACCGAAGAAGCCGGTCTGGTTCCAGACGGCGTCGCGGAGGCGGCGCATGTCGCGGCCCTTGAGAGTTCGGCCGACGCCCTCCAAGACGGAGCCAGCCGCCCGCCGCTGCTGCTCCCGCACGAGGTACTCGTGCGGCGGCATCCAACGGTCGCCGCCCTCCCCCGGCGGCGACTCCCCCTCGCCGCCCTGTCTGGCGGTGCCGCCGCCCCACGCCGGCACGCTCACCGGCGCCGACACCGCCGCCTCCCGCCGCCGCCCCCGCTGCTGCTGCCGCTGCTGGATCCCCCTCGGCGCCGTCTCTCCTCCCCCGGCGACGCCGCCTCCTTCCCGCCACCCCCTCCGCCGCCGCCCCCCCTCATCCCCGCTGCTCTCCCCCGCCGCCACCTCCTCCTCCTCGTCGGCGGCGGCGGAGGACCAGACCTCGTCCTCCCCGAGGTCCGGGAGGTCGGCGCCGGCGGCCTGGTCCTGCCGGCAGGCGAAGCTCTCCAGGAGGCGCTGCTGGTGGGCCGACACCTGCTTCCGGCCTTTCGCCATGGCGGCGCCCGCCCAAATATAGAAATTCTCCGCTCCGAAGTAGCTGGACGGTCGGCGGCGGACTGTCGGAAGACGGCGACCTCGCGGGCGGGTGGCGGTGGTTGCTCTCTGGCGGCGCCCCTCCCCCGCCGTCGTATTTGTACCCGGGCCAAGCCACCGACCACCTCATTTCATTTGGGTTTAATTTACCGTGCTTTTGGCCGCATTCCCCCTCCGCCACCCATCATTGCTCCGAGGCGTACGGACGTCAGTGCTCCGCCATGCACATAACCACGTATTTAAATGATAAACGCCGTGATCTACAGGGTCTGCCTCTCTCCTTCGACGCACGGAACACATGCACCTCGAGACGTATCCCGTCTGATAACTGTCGGTCTCCGAGAGACACCTGTCCGGATAAGGTCACCCACGGGTCCACGAGGCATATTCTTCCACGTGGCGCATCCTTGTCCAACGAAAAGCTCCACCCCCGCTTCCGCTGCGACTCCGGTCGCCGGGAGCTTAGCGTGTTCGGTCTCTCTGTCCGCGGCGCAGGAGAAAGGCCCCTGCCACTGCGGCAAGCCGCGGTGAGCTTATCGTGCACCGGCGGAGAGAGAGTGCTCCCCAGCGGCGTGTCTCGCCGCCGTGGAGGCCGGCTGAGCCTTTTTCCGGCGCGGTTGTGTCCGAAAAGAGACAAAACTCTGCTGCGGCGGCGCCGGCAGCCGGGGCAGCCCGCCTCGCAGAGCCGCCGCCGACCTTTTTGGCGAGAGCGACGGGACGGCGGCGCTTTCTGCATTTGGCAAGTTGCCGCCTTGTCCCGTTCCGCCATTAATGCTGCGGCGGCCTCATCCCACCGTAAAAGCCCCCGCCGCCGTGGCGGCCTGATTGAGGAGCTCCTGGCCCTTCGTAGACGCCACGGCCTCAGAAGGCTGGGCGAAGGGCCCCACTCAGAGGGTCCGACTCGGAATCGACGGAGAGCGAGGGGGTTAATTCCCTCACGCGCCATTATGATCCCAACGATGCATTAGTTGGGTTAGTCAACAGTAGAATAAATATCACATCAGCTTGGTAGGGAGAGAGAGATTGAGAATATGTTGACCCGGACGATCGGAAGAGTCAACGAACCAGACTGGGCCTAACTCATCTTTTAGTATGGTCACAATCTCCTCCACCAGTATAATTGGTCCAAGGTTCGTATTTTCAGTAATTTAACTGAGAGAGAGAGAGAGAGAGAGAGAGAGAGAGAGAGAGAGAGTTCTGAATAGGATTTTGGCCCTATGGTCGTGGTCCTTTGGCGAACATCTATAGGGGACGCGTTGAAGGTTGCAGCATGATTGGTCCAAGGTCTATTTTACAGTAATTTCACAGCAGCGAGAGAGAGAGAGAGAGATGAATAGGTTTCCTAGCTTTGTCGGTCCGCAGTCGACGGAGCTGACGGAGAATGGCGGAGCTCCTCCACATCTTTAGCCGGTGATAACAATAACAAAGCCATTTGTTGTTAATGGTGCTGAGAGAGCTCCTTCTAGTTGGAGAGAGGCGCCCCCGGCTGTCAACTGCAGCACCTTTGGAGTGAAGTGGTGAGGAACAATTCCCTTCCTTGTATGGCAATCAGGATTTGACTTCTCTGATCCTGTGATTTATTATTCATTCCAAGATATCACCCCAAAGTTGGAAAATAATCAACTACACATCATAGTAGAACGACCCCAGGTGTGAAATGGGGAACCAAATTATATGAGTCCACGTTGGTGGAAACCTGTTGGATTCAATAGGAGCAGAAAGTGGGGTGGACACTGGAGTCAACTCCTGATAAGGCGAAGAGTAACACAGGCTGATTCAAGGGTGGGTCAACACCTGGTTGATAAATAGAACAGGTAACACACAGGGGTTGATGCTATGGTCGTCTCATACTCGAAGATGGAACATGTGGCACAACGAGGTTGGCACTAGGGTTGATCCTAGTTCAAAGGAAAACATTCTACGTTCTAGACAAAAAAAGGAGTGAACTCTTTTTTTTTATTCGAGGGTTTTTCAAAAATGTCCCTATTACACTTAGATGCAACAATACATTCAACACGAATATCACCTTCTGCAACATAATCAAGTAAGAAATGATGTTATATTTTCAATATGCCTCATTCAAGAGAATTTTCGCTTTTAGGTAGATTCTTACATAGAATTAAGAGATTAATGTTATCACATAATACAAGATTTAAAACAAAGTATTCTCACAACTGCTAGATTTATAACACCTAAACACAAATAGGTTCATAATAATTAGTTTGTATGGTAGGTATTCTTGCAACTACAAGATTTCAATTTCTAGATACCCATGAATGTAAGTAATCTCATGAAAGCGTGATGATCCATGTGTGATTTTTCTTAGTCTAGTAACATATTGCATACTTAACACAAGAGTATGCTACCATGTTTTGCAATTCAACTTTATGATACCAACAAAATAAGATACATGATGTTATCTATTGGTATTTAAGTACAAGAAGAGATCATATCATGTGTTTACATGCAAGATTTCCAAAATGATGGTGCATCATACCTCATTCTTATATGGGTGTAGATGAAATTATGCATCAAAAAAATTATAAAATTGTTGCACCTGAAAGTCCCAAATTATAGGGATATAACATAAATAGATTAGACAGGATGGGGTGGATATTCATAATTTATACTTGTTGTATGATAACTCAAAAATATTTAAACTTATGGATATTCATAATTGATTATTGTTCTAGGACAATTGAGATTATTTTAAATGATTTTACAACGATAGCTGATGAGATTCTTTAATTTACAGTGGTCCTCTTGAATGTACATCCTATTCATGCAAAATTTCGAAAGATGTGGCATGCTCAATGAATCCTCACTTTCATGGGGCTCTAACTAAAAATGTCTCATTGACAGGCTTTATCACATAAAATTTATTTAAATGATGGTACCGGAAAATTATCTATTGGATTAGAAACTGGGCCCTGTCTATGGACTCGACAGTGGGGGATCTCTCTCTCTCTCTCTCTCTCTCTCTCTCTCTCTCTCTCTCTCTCTCTGATTCTCTCGTATTCTCCACGAAGATTAGTTTTTAAGAAAAGCAGAGCTAAGAACGGTTCTCTAGAAGTATATTTGGGCATCAAACGACTATACTTAAGTTCAAAGTATAGATCTTGGGAACGAATTTCGTGAACAGAGTCTTCTTCAGAAGAAAATTTTATTCGAACAAATAGAATTCAGGAAATGGATCGGTCATCCCGATTAGCATCGGCGGGTACACTACAGCAGGAGTCAGGAACAGGGTAGACGGCGGGTGGAGAGCGCATATCAGGAAGAGCTCCTCCTCCTCCTCCTCCTCCTCCTCCTCCTCCTCCTCCTCCTCCTCCTCCTGCTGCTGCTGCTGTGTTTCCTCCCAGCACTGGGGTAGGATTCTCTCCTCCTCTATGCCGTGGAGGATGCCCTCCAGCTCTTCCTCGCTCCCGCTTAGTTGCTCCATTTGAACCTCGAACACAGCCGCCGTCATCAGGGCGTCGACCCCGGCTTGGTGCGCCCCACCCCCCTCCGGCTTCACACCGATAGTCTCCGCGAGCCGGCCCAGGCCGAGGTGGAACCCTCCGCAGAACCTGCCCAGGTACTTCACGTCGATGATCCTGCCGAGGGTGGCCCCCACCAGCTGGGCGAACTCGGGGAGCGTCGGCGGCAACGGTCCCCCGGTGAGGAGCTTCACCAGGTATGCGATGTCGTAAAGGCCCTGGAACGTGACCCATCGGGGCTTGCGCCGTCCCACCCAGTCGCATCGCCACAGTATCTCGGAGAAGAGCTCCGAGTCCACCCCTTCTCTTCTCGTCCTGCATAAATCAATGCCGCTCCTCTTCAGCAGCTCCACCGACGCCTCCGATCGCGCATCCGACGCAGAGGCAACGTCGAAGTCGCGGAAGCTTATCTGCCAGGTTCGCCGCCGCCCGCCGTCGCCGAAGAAGCAGAGCCCGAGCTGGATGAGCTTCATATTGTCCACATTCCGCCTGACATCTTGGTAGCGCTCGCTGGAGGACGCGAACCGAGGGGTCTGGTGGAGGAACCCGGGGAACTCCGTGTCCATCGCCACGAAGGTGGCCGAGTCGAGCGCCTCCAGGATCCCGGGCAGCTCCATCCCCATATTCCACCCCCACACCTCCCTCACCTCCTCCCGCGCCGTCTCCACCCTCCCGCTGTGTCCTCCGCCTGCGTCCATCTCTCTGTCTATCTCCGTCTCTCAGCCCTCCGCTCCCGCAAGCCTAGTTCCCGCTTCCTTCTCGCCGTTTCTCGGAGAGCGACGATATTGAGTGGGGAGCAGACGGGGATGGAAGGCCCCCTCTTTTATAGCGGGTGTCCGGCGGCGCCTCCCTTTCGATTCCGACATGCAAGGAGCAGAAACCGGCTCTCCGAGATAGAAGGGGCAGTGGTTTCCTTTTCTTAGTAGTTTCCTTCGCCGAGATCTACGTAGATTGCGTAGTTAGCCGTTGCCCCTGCCCCCGCCCCCGCCCACCATACGAATTTTGGCGCGGACCGTTGAAAGTTTCGGCCTTGAATGCAAACGTGTAGTCCGAATCCCGTCGGGTTGGTGTGAAATAAGCCGATTAATCTTCGGCCCACCCGCAGAGTCCCCCCTGCCCTCTCTCTCCCCGTCTGCCAAGAGACCCACCCCTCTACAGCTCAGACTAGGACAGTGCCGTGCGAAGCAAAACAGGCCGTCAACCACTACAGCACCGGGCGAGAAAATCAAGCAGCCTCTCAACGTCTGCAATCATCTACTGTAATAGAGAAACAGTTTGGGAATGGAAGTCAGAGCAGTAGTGATAGAAGAAAGAGAAATCTGAGAGGCAGCTAGCGCAGTTCGCCTCACACACCCGGTCGTGCCGACGTCGGCGCAACCGCTTGATGAGCTGGTGGTGGCGGCGCAACCGGCCTGAGGAGGAGGTGGTGGCGGGGGTGGTGGGGCGTCTCCCTCTGCTTCTTGCTCTTCTTCTCCTTCAGGCATCCGGATTCCACCGCAACGGACCACATTGTAAAAAAACAGAAACTTTTCTCTTGCGAGTCAGCCCCTACCAACGCCTATAAATGGATCTTTCAGTCTCTATTTGACAAAGGGCACGTAGAAGTTGGCAAGAGAGTGAGTAGCCATGGATATCGCTGGAAGACTTGAGAGAATTGAGCAAGCTCCAGAAGCTGGAAGACGAAGAGCCCCAAAAGGCGCGTTTCAATGTCGAGAAGAAACTCTCCCCCGATCACTTCATCGGGTTCATCAGAATGGGGTGCGAGAGGATTAGATGGCCCAGCTGCCTCTCCTGAGGCACGGTCCCAGGAGCAGGTTGACTAAGAGTTGCGCCTGCCCCTCCTGGTGTTTCCGAAGCACATAGAATTCAGGAAGCGGAGCAGTCATCCCGATTAACATCGGCGGGAACACTACAGCAAGAGTCAGGAACAGGGTAGACGGCGGGTGGAGAGGGCATATCAGGAGGAGGAGCTCCACCTCGTCGTCCTGCTCTGTTTCCTCCGAGGACTGGGCTGGGATCCTCTCCTCCTCTTTGCCGTGGAGGATGCCCTTGTTTTGATATATCTTAATATCTAAGTTTTCTTCCTCGCTTTGTATTTCTCTTCTCTATTTCTCCTGTCACCTCTGGCAGGCAACGGGTTTACACCATTACTTCTAGTACAATCTCTATGTTTTCTTCTTCACTTTGTATTTCTCTTCTCTGTTTCAAGTTGCTACATAACATTATTTATGTACTCATATTTAGATGATTATCTCTGTCAGAAAATAGTTTAATTAGCATTCATGCATACACATGTGCTCTTTGATAATCACGACAGGATCTAAGTGAAGTTCACTTGTGGAGTGATTGATGTAAATTTGACTTTTTGTTGTACAATGCCCTTAAATTGGTGATCCCTTGTAGGCTGTTATGAATATCTATTAGAAGATCAATGACATGACTCAGTCGTTGTATATTAAATCACGTAAATCTAAAATTTATAAAACTAGAAAATATGATTTTTCAGATATTTAGAAGTATTTCTGAATAAATATATTAATTATAATTTCAATAAAACTTCCAAAAATATCGGTAATTTTTCAGGTCGATCACAGGGATGTAATATAATATTTGGTAATTATTCAGATTTTTTCTCAATGAATACGATTTTCTATAAATTTTATACTAGGAAATGAAAAGAAAATATATTTAAAGCTCACGAAAAAAGGAAATAAGGGTGCAAACGTCAGGATGACGTCAGTGCCTGGCGAACGCGAATCGGGTGGAAACAGAGTTCTGCCCGGCGATTCTTACGTAAGCGATTACAGACGATTTAATTAATCAAATTAAGATCTATAAAAGCTGAAAGAATCGTAATTGAATGAAATATATTTTGGTAAATTAAAATCACACAAAGTATCACTAAATGAAGCGTAAATTAAGTTGAAAGCAAGAAAATAGAGTTCCGGCGTCGCAACGGCAATGGGTCGGCGATGTACCGGAATCCTGAGCGTTCGGGAGGATTGTCGTGCAGTGTCCACAGCCTCAAAGGCTCTCCTTGGACAAAGACGATGTGGGTAATCTCTAGATCTCTTTTCGAAGTCTAGAGATCAATGAAATGGGTCGTCAACTCATCTCCGGCAGCTGTTACCTGGCAGAGCAGAAAAACGGCGACTTTGCGGCTCTCTGGCGGCTGTCACCCGACGGAGAGGAACTGGATGGAGGTGGGGCGTGTGTCAGGGAGCTTCATCCTCAAGTCCACGCAGCAAGAGGAGGCTCTTCATCACATCTGGTATGCTCTCAGGAGGTGGCGACTCGTCTCCCGGCGGATCGTCCTCTTCCCGATGACGGTTTGTTCATCGATCAATCAGAGATGATTTACTTGATGGATTCACGATCCTTTTATCGCGAATCGTTCAGCAATTTTAGTAGCAATGCTCCGCGAATCGCATTGACGAGATTTTCACTGATGATCCATCAATTCTCGTTGTTTAATCCTTCACCGATGATCTATAGGAAAGTTGTGATAATCAAATAAAAATATATGAATTTTGACTCTGGGAGGATTCGAACCTGCGCCGGTTGTCCGCCTCTTCTGAGGAAGGTGTGATGTGGGTTTAGTCCCACATCAATTGTGCGCCGATTTTTCAAGCGAATATATAGGTTACATTTCTAAGGAAAGTTCCTTCTCTCGCGTGTATGACCACTCCTTGCCCCACAGCCGGCTGGCCACCGGTGACGTGGAAGGGGAGTGGCGCACACATACTCCTATCGGTCTAAGCCACTCGAGCCCTTGCTCGCGGCTACTCCCTGACTGAGCTTCTGACCCGCTTGCGGGCCCGGTTGGCCGGCGGGGTCCCCCTCATTTTATCTTTTTTTTATTTTTTATTTCTTTTTCTTCATTTATCTCAAAAGCAAGATTGTAAAAATCATATAAATTCATGTAAAATCACATAATTACCTAAAAATTCACATTAATCAACTAAAAACCACTTTTCACACTTTAACATAAATATAAGTCTATTTATCATGAGATAAGATTAAAACTATATTATTTACTAATTATTAACTCATGATAATGAAGACTTATCACACCCCCCAACTTAAATCATTGCTAGTCCCTTAGCAATGGAATTACGAAAATAAAAATTTACAAATCTCAAACATCATATTTTAATACAGAAAAAAAAATACAATTAGAAATGATACACCTTTAAACACTTTGGATTCTTATATCAAGTATTTAAGAATAATGTCAAGCACTTAAATGTTTAAACACTCCTTGGAATAACAATCTAGACTTCACTTCTTCTATTCACATCTTTATCACTTCTTCACTCATAGATGTATTTACAAGATGTTCCAATTATCAATACTCATCCAAGAATAATATTGATCCTACATTTCCCTTTTTCTATGACTTGATTTTTGAAGTTTGCACTATATTTCTTCCTTCTTTTTTTCTTTTTTTTTTATATATAGTGGATAAGTAGCTTTTTCTATAGACAAATTTCGACAATAAGAATGATGTCTCACACCCTCTATGTGTACTCTTCATTTTCAGGGCTTTCACTTTATCTACTTATTTTGCAGCAAATGTTTTCTATGCACGATTTTCGACAATGAGAATGATGTCTCACACCCTCTATGTGTACTCTTCGTTTCTAGATTTTTCACATTGCTCTCTCTTTTTTTTTTTTTTTTTTCGAAATAAGTGATTTCTCTTCACAAGTCCTATAGATCAGGATGTAAAAATCTCCATTAAACTCAAATGATCAATCAAATTTTCACATCAAGTAAATACTATCCATCAAGATCATGAAGTGAAAATCTGTAAAATCAAATCCATATTATCTATCATGTATCCAAGGAGTATTCCAACATTTCATGCTACTAGATCATTCTTTTGACTCAATAATAATCTTTCTAGTATCTTTTGGTATCAATCAATCTAATTGATTTAATTTTTCATGCATGCAATATGATGTAAGAAATTTGTAAATTAGATAGTTCTGATAGTTCTATTTTCTATTTTTAGTTCTATTTTAGCAGCAATAAATTTGCCAAAAATAAATCAAAACTATCTTCTTTATAGCTGTAATTTCGAATTTCAGTAATATATGTCTAGGGGATTGAAATGTGAGAAAAAGGTCTCTATAATTTCAAATTTCAGGTTGTTTTTTCATTTGCTATTTTTGACAGTCTGTTGTTCTTGACAAAAAACCAGAAAATAGATGTTGTAATTCTTTCGAATTTTATTTTATTTTTATTTTTTTAGTTTCTGTTCTAAGTTGAATAAAATGCAAACATATGTTCTTAATCATCTTACAACATAAATTAATAATGAATACTTCACCCCCCAACTTAAAAATGACATTGTCCTCAATGACATAGAAAAATCGAAATAGAATATGCAGAAAATATAATTTTCACGTGAAGCATGCATATATGCAAAGTTAAGCATTAAAAATGTTGTCATAAATGATAAAGCTCCGAAAGACATCACCTCAACCTCGTTTTTAATTTTCCACTTCGTCTTACACTCCTCTTCCTGCACTTTTTCGAAAAAACAAATACAAAAACAAGTACTGCGAAATTCTAAGAAAAATAGAGCTTAAAAAAATCAAATAAAATGAAATAAAAACCATAGGTTGCCTCCCATGCAGTGCTAAATTTAATGTCTTCAGCTGGACAGCTCTTAGATCATATAAGATGATCTATGGCCATCAAAATATATTTGTATCCCAAGGTAAGTTTCATGATATTCTTTTTCAGATTTAGCATAAATTCATATACTTCATATATATACCTTGATATACTTTCAGGCAAAACAAAATGGAAATTAACAAAATCTTCCCAAAAATAATATTTTCATTTTGAAAAGAATTTTTCCTCATTTCTATCTTGTTTCGTAAGGCTCTCATTCATTAATAAATATTTTATATTAATAGACCATAAAATGTGATCAGGCCATATAATTTTCAAATTAGCTCTTACCCAATCTAGAATTTTTTCATTTAAATTGATATCTCTAATTCTTCCACTCACCCATTTCTTAATGTGTTCTTTTATCTGCATAATCTTCCCCTGTTCTGTTTTATCTTCCATACATATTTATTCAATTTGTGAGGAGTGAAATATTTCAAGCTTAGAAATAATTCTAATCGGCTGTGGATTTTGAAGGATGGAAGGATTGTCTTCTTTAATCTTAGATCTAATGAATTCAGTAAAATTCAAATTTTCTCCTCTAAAATTATCTCTATATTCCATTCATTATTTTCATTTCTCCTCATTAGTTGAATCAACTCTTTTTCTAGCTTTTCGTTTCTCAACTCATCAAATTCTTCATCTTCCCAAGAGCTATCTTTTAATTTCAGTATATGATATACATCATCATCAACATCCATGGCTGCAAAATTATGATTAGATTTATTAATTTCGTCTCCTACATCTCCCAAATCAACTGATTTTTCCTCACCTGAAATATGTTTTTCTTCATTTGTGTCCTTACTCCCTTCTACTAAAATTTGGATAATTTTTCCATGATCAGCTGCTGTTTCTTCATCTAAGGGCTCTTTCTCCTCATCATCCTCACTATATTCATTCATCAATTGTGAGCAATAAATAATTTTATTCAAATTTTCTACTACTATATTTTCAGCCTTAATATTCTCATTTACTTCTAATAGCTCATCAATTTCTTGTAATAATTAGAAATAAGGATCAGGTAAAATATTCTCAATCAATGTATTCACTGTCCTAATATTTTTATTTCATGGGTTTTTTTCTAAATTTATCCAGCTAGACTCTCTTTGCTGAAATCCTATTGTTGGATAGTTTCCTGAATTTTCTATGAGCTAACTAGGTGGTTGTCCCTCTTCTCTCTTATTCCCAAGAGCCTCTATAATTTGTTTCTGGTGCAGCATCATTTGATTCATAGTTTGTTACATCATTTGGCTCATTTGCTACATCATTTCCATAGCATCAGGTTGGATTTGAGAGGACTAATTTTTCTGAAATCTATGTTCCTATTTTGGACGAAATTCAAAATGTGAATTGGATCTAAGTGCTTCTACATTTTGAATATTATTTGGGTTTCTCCACGAAAAATTATTCCCCCAATTAGGATTATAAGAATTAGAAAAATATTCTCTATTTTTACTAAAATCGTGGGCTACCTGCACTTGTTCTTGCCTATGATGATATTGAAATTTGAAATGATTATTTTCACCATACATATGACCTGTACCATTTGAATTAAATTGAGGGTTAAGAGGCTTTCTAATATTGTCAATAAGCAAATCAAGTTTTTCAAATCTTTGATTAATCTGATTAACCTCATTTCTAAATTTAGATTCATTATCATGATGCAATTCATGAATTACTCTCTTCTTATCCCTGTCATATAATTCAAAAGAGGCTTGATCTCTAGAATTTTCACTTAAATTCTCATAAAGACTGTAAATCTCATCAGGGGTTTTCTCCATAAAAGCTCCTCCACATATAGAATCAATAATATTTCTATGTTGTTCTAATAATCCATCATAAAAAAATTTATTGAGCTGCCACTTGAGTATAACATGATGAGGACACTTTCTAAGTAAATCTTTGAATGTTTCCTATGTCTCATGTAAAGTTTCTCCTGGTCTTTGGGAAAAATTCCATATATATTTTTTCATATTTTGAGTTTTTCCTAAGGGATAAAATTTTCGAAGAAAGGGTTGTTCTATGTCTTTCCAGCTAGTTAATTATCTATCTAATGTGGATAGCCAATGGTTAGCTTTGTCCCTAAGTGTATGAGGAAATAATTTCATCTTAATAATTTCCAGTGTAACTTGAGGGAGATTAACTAAATCACAGACCATATGAAATTTTTCTAAGTGCTGATGAAGTTCTTCTAAAGGCAATCCATGAAAATTAGGGAGCATTTGAAAAATTCCTAGATTTATTTCGAATTTAACATTGGGTGTTAATAGGACTCTAATATTGGATGCTCTTTGAAATGAATCAGGGATATAATAATTTTTCATGGCCATAAGGATTGTTCTCAATTTAACCTGTACTTTCTTCAAGATCTATCAAAATTAATTTTTCTTTCGGATTTTTAGTTTTGAATGAAATAATGAAAGAATTTTCTAGCCTTGGATGTAAGGATCTTCTACCATGTATAAAAAATCAATGAATTCGAGAGAAAAGTTTATTAATTATTACCCTCCTTCAGTATGCTCCAGTCCTTGCCTTGTTTCTTTTTGTTCCCTTTTTCTAAATAAAAAAAATTCGGCAAGAAGAAAATAAAATAAGAGTTTTTTTTTTATGTACTCTAAGAAAAAAACAGAAAAATACTAAATATTATGCAATACAACCCTGGCAACGGTGCCAAAATTTGACGTGACTCAGTCGTTGTATATTAAATCACGTAAATCTAAAATTTATAAAACTAGAAAATACGATTTTTCAGATATTTAGAAGTATTTCTGAACAAACATATCAATTATAATTCAATAAAACATCCAAAAATAGCGGTAATTTTCCAAGTCGATCACAGGGATGTAATATAATATTTGGTAATTATTCAGATTTTTTCTCAATGAATACGATTTTCTATAAATTTTATACTAGGAAATAAAAAGGAAATATATTTAAAATTCACGAAAAAAGGAAATAAGGGTGCGGACGTCAAGATGACGTCAGTGCCCGGCGAATGCGAATCGGGCGAAAATAGAGTTCTACCCGGCGATTCTTACGTAAGTGATTACATATGATTTAATTAATCAAATTAAGATTTGTAAAAGTCGAAAGAATCGTAATTGAACGAAGTATATTTTGGTAAATTAAAATCACACAAAGTATCACTAAATGAAGCGTAAATTAAGTTGAAAGCAGGAAAATAGAGTTCCGGCATCGCAACGACAATGCGTCAATGATGCACTAGAATCCTAAGCATTCGGGAGGATCGTCATGCAGTGTGCACGGCCTCGAAGGCTCTCCTTAGACAAAGACGACGTGGGCTATCTCTAGATCTCCTTTAGAAGTCTAGAGATCAATGAAATGGGTCGTCGACTCATCTCTGGCGGCTGTCACCCGGTGGAGCAGAAAAACGGCGACTTTGCGGCTCTCCGGCGGCTGTCACCCGACGGAGAGGAGCTAGATGGAGGTGGGGCGCATGTCAGGGAGCTTCATCCTCAGGTCCACGCAGCAAGAGGAGGCTCTTCATCACATCTGGTATGCTGTCAGGAGGTGGCGACTTGTCTCCCAGCAGATCGTCCTCTTCCCGACGATGGCTTGTTCGTCAATCAATCGAAGATGATTTACTCGATGGATTTGCGATCCTTTTATCGTGAATCGTTCAGCAATTTTAGTAGCAATGCTCCGCAAATCGCATTGATGAGATTTTCACCGATGATCCAGCGATTCTCGTTGTTTAATCCTTCACTGGCGATCTGTAGGAAAGTCGCAATAATCAAATAAAAATATATGAATTTTGACTCTGGGAGGATTCGAACCTGCGCCAGTTGTCCGCCCCTTCTGAGAAAGGTGTGATGCGGGTTTAGTCCCACATCAGTTGTGCGCCGATTTTTCAAGTGAATATATAGGTTACATTTCTAAGCAAAGTTCCTTCTCTCGCGTGTATGACCACTCCTTGCCCCACAGCCGGTTGGCCACCGGTGACGTGGAAGGGGAGTGGCGCACACGTGCTCCTATCGGTCCAAGCCGCTCGAGCCCCTGCTCGCGGCTACTCCCTGACTGAGCTTCCAACCCACTTGCGGGCCCGGCTGGCCGGCGGGTCCCCCTCATTTTGTCTTATTTTTATTTTTTATTTCTTTTTCTTCATTTATCTCAAAAGCAAGATTGTAAAAATCATATAAATTCAAGTAAAATCACATAATTACCTAAAAATTTACATTAATCAACTAAAAACCACTTTTCACACTTTAACATAAATATAAGTCTATTTATCATGAGTTAAGGCTAAAACTATATTATTTACTAATTATTAACTCATGATAATGAAGACTTATCAATAAGTAGTGCTGAGAATTATTCTACTTCACACTTCTTAGTCGGCAACTATGAGCAAATATGGAATTGCCTATGGGTTTTTCTTAAATTCAAGTAACATTATTTTTTTATAATATTGTTAAGATCACAATGTAACACTAACTTTGCAGTGTCAAGACCTCCCAACAAACTGTTGTTTAGAGGAAGAATAGATCACGACTAGAAATCTCAATTATCATGTTGGCAAATAACAATTAGCCTCAATATTTCATAGTGAAATCATAAATAAAATATTTTATGTCATTAACAGAAATATGTTCAAACCCATAGTTAGCAAAGCTTCCTACAAGCTATTTAAAGGGAAGGAATCAAACATTATTATTCTTTTATCATTTTGATGCAGATATCTTATATTATTTAATAGAACACTGAAGAAAAGGAATTTCAATACCTAGATTGATGATGGATTTTTTTCTCGGAGATTATGAAAACTTGATCTTTTAGAGCTTACGAAAAAAGGACATTCCTCAAGAAAATCATAAATGTGAGAAACTTCAAACAAAATTTGAAATATGCCCTGAATGTGGATAATGGAGAATTATTAGAGATTGAATTTCAAAAATCTTGATTCGATTCTCCATAAGTTGGAGGAAATTCAGGATGAGAGACAACTCTCAAAGAATGGAAGAGTGTCAAGGGAGGTGGCAAGAAATCATTTTAAACTTGGTCTTGATTGAAAAGTAAAGAACGGTTAACTACTTTACTATCTAAGATTCAATAAGAAAATTTGGAAGAAGTTTTAGCGAGTGAAAAAGTTATTGCTTTTATGAAAAAGAATTGAGAAATATAAATGCTTGATGTTAGTACCTTGGAAAACAAAAGTATCTTTCGTAAAACTAAAGGAAAGTTTTCAAAAATATTAAATGAGGATGAAAACATTGTTAGGAATAAGGATAGATTGGTAGGTCAAGGATATATTTAAATACATGAATAAATGGATGAAACCTAAGCACTAGTGCCTACTACAAGACCATCATTTCATATTAAATTGGTGTGAAAAATGATTTCTCAACAATGAAATTATAAAACATGTGGGTCAAACCCTTGATGTTATAAGTCCAGAGCATCCTAATTATGCTCTAAAATTGTTTAAAGCCTTTTATGGTAAGAAACAAGAGTCTAGAGCTTACTATAAGACGTGGACACGATTCATTTAGCAAACAGCAGTAATGTATCAGGATGAATGATTGTCTTAGTCGTTGCATAAAGAGATGTCAAATTTAATATTCATGAAATGATTAATTTCATAGATGTATTGAGGAAAAATTGATTTCTAAGTTTTTTATTTGTAATTCTGCTCAAATCTCTTCCTCTACTTGTCCCTAGTCTCAATAGAGGAAAAATCATATTTTTATCTATCTTTTGCATGATTCTTTACATTTTTTTTATTTTATATTAGTTCTATTTTAATTCATAAACAATATCATGCACAATAAAACTAGTGAATTCACCCTATATTTCAAGCTTGTGCATTGCCTCATCTCAATTGTCCAAAGGGTATTTTTTTTATCTTTAATATATTTTAATTTCAGTTTTGTAATATTTTGTTACTTAATTGATTATACACCCATTTTCAGCCCTTGGTCTTCTTGTTTTCACAATTGGTTTTGTCTAGTTTCCCTAATACATGTGGTTCATTTCCGTGCTAGTGGTACAACCCACCGGTGGAATCATTTCTCAATCTCTCTCACTTTACTCTCTTCGTGATCCTCTTTGTCCTTCTCTCTCTCCTCCCCTAGTCTCTTTGGTATTTGTGGACTCTCATAAATGTTTCTTAAAGGTTCAAGCTAAAACTTACTACATATCTAGGACTAATGCAAATAAGGGACAACCAGAGCCGGTTGCAGCTGATCAAGTGCAGAATATCATTTCTCTCTTTGCATTATTTACTTCATTCATTTATTATTCATATTCATATTTATTTAGGGATCAGAAAAAATTATCATCAGATGTTTTATCTTCTTTATGGATATTACCTAAAGCCACCATAGCTACTTGATTTAGATTATTGTCAATTAAGTTTTATAAATATTTAATTTGGCATCTCTTCATACAATGACTAAGAAACAATCATTTATCATCCTAAATTAAATCATTTCATAACAAGATCATTATGACCTTATATCAAGCTCTAGACTCTTGTTTATGATCATTAAAGGCTTTAAACAGTTTTAGAGCACAACTAGGATGTTCATAACTTTTAAACAAGCACTTTTTTTTAATTTCATAATTGGGAAATCATTTTTCACAATAAATTCATATAAAAAGATGGTCTTGTAACAGGCACTAGTGCTTACGCTTCATCCATTTGTTACTGTAATAGGCACTCATAGGAAGTTTTCTTACCTATGGGTTTGGTCATAATTCTATTATTGAATGGTATAACATACAACATTTCTCACCTCACTCAAAAATATTAAGACAAAGTATTATTTACCAATGCAACAGTTTGAATTTCGAATAGTCTAAACAGCAGTTTGTTGGGTGGTCAGCATTAAAAAATTAATCTATTATGTTGTGATCCTAACATTATTCTAAACCTTCATGTTATTGCATTTTAAGAAAAACATACAGGTAGTAGAAAGTTTTACAAGAAACTATCATTTTGATTATTTCTAGAAACTATCATTTTGATTATTTCTAGAAACAAAACGTACCCATTGCCATATTTGTTCATGCTCACTAACTAAGAAGACGAGTAGAACAAACTTTCTCAATACTAATGATCTTCCAATGGACATCCAAACCGGTCTACAAGGTTTCTTCGAACCAGTTCAAAAAGGAAACTTTTATGAAGATTTTTTATCAAGATTTTATGAAGATTTGGGAACTCTGTAAACAATTTAAAGATTTGAGGTAATTTCTTGTATTGGATAAAATCAACGCGTGATGAGATGATTTGTGCGATGTTGATTTTATGAAGCTTTGTAGGGATGCCCGTGCGAAATTTCTTGTATTCTGGTGCAGTGGATCCAAAGCTTGGTGCAGGACGTCGGGAAAATGCGTTCTCCCTACGCCGCAGGTGCTAGGAGACAATAACGGCTGCTCTTCATTTTCTGAAGGGTTTATCTGGGCTGCAACTACAACAGACATGTGCTCGATCACATCTCCTCCCGAGACAGATACATACTTCAGATTGCACAGTTAAGCATTCAATGGCCTGATGGACCATTACATGAGCATCTGCATGATCAAATGATTGCTCGAGGACTAGCAAGTGAGCTATTGGATTAGAAACTGGGCCGTGTCTATGGACTCGACAGTGGGGGATCTCTCTCTCTCTCTCTCTCTCTGATTCTCTCTTATTCTCCACGAAGATTAGTTTTTAAGAAAAGCAGAGCTAAGAACGGGTCTCTAGAAGTATATTTGGGCATCAAACGACTATACTTAAGTTCAAAGTATAGATCTTGGGAACGAATTTCGTGAACAGAGTCTTCTTCAGAAGAAAATTTTATTCGAACAAATAGAATTCAGGAAATGGATCGGTCATCCCGATTAGCATCGGCGGGTACACTACAGCAGGAGTCAGGAACAGGGTAGACGGCGGGTGGAGAGCGCATATCAGGAAGAGCTCCTCCTCCTCCTCCTCCTCCCTCCTCCTCCTCCTCCTCCTCCTCCTCCTCCTCCTCCTCCTGCTGCTGCTGCTGTGTTTCCTCCCAGCACTGGGGTAGGATTCTCTCCTCCTCTATGCCGTGGAGGATGCCCTCCAGCTCTTCCTCGCTCCCGCTTAGTTGCTCCATTTGAACCTCGAACACAGCCGCCGTCATCAGGGCGTCGACCCCGGCTTGGTGCGCCCCACCCCCCTCCGGCTTCACACCGATAGTCTCCGCGAGCCGGCCCAGGCCGAGGTGGAACCCTCCGCAGAACCTGCCCAGGTACTTCACGTCGATGATCCTGCCGAGGGTGGCCCCCACCAGCTGGGCGAACTCGGGGAGCGTCGGCGGCAACGGTCCCCCGGTGAGGAGCTTCACCAGGTATGCGATGTCGTAAAGGCCCTGGAACGTGACCCATCGGGGCTTGCGCCGTCCCACCCAGTCGCATCGCCACAGTATCTCGGAGAAGAGCTCCGAGTCCACCCCTTCTCTTCTCGTCCTGCATAAATCAATGCCGCTCCTCTTCAGCAGCTCCACCGACGCCTCCGATCGCGCATCCGACGCAGAGGCAACGTCGAAGTCGCGGAAGCTTATCTGCCAGGTTCGCCGCCGCCCGCCGTCGCCGAAGAAGCAGAGCCCGAGCTGGATGAGCTTCATATTGTCCACATTCCGCCTGACGTCTTGGTAGCGCTCGCTGGAGGACGCGAACCGAGGGGTCTGGTGGAGGAACCCCGGGAACTCCGTGTCCATCGCCACGAAGGTGGCCGAGTCGAGCGCCTCCAGGATCCCGGGCAGCTCCATCCCCATATTCCACCCCCACACCTCCTTCACCTCCTCCCGCGCCGTCACCACCGTCCCGCTGTGTCCTCCGCCTGCGTCCATCTCTCTCTCTATCTCTGTCTCTCAGCCCTGCGCTCCCGCAAGCCTAGTTCCCGCTTCCTTCTTGCCGTTTCTCGGAGAGCGACGATCTTGAGTGGGGAGCAGACGGGGATGGAAGGCCCCGTCTTTTATAGCGGGTGTCCGGCGGCGCCTCCCTTTCGATTCCGAGATGCAAGGAGCAGAAACCGGCTCTCCGAGATAGAAGGGGCAGTGGTTTCCTTTTCTTAGTAGCTTCCTTCGCCGAGATCTACGCAGATTGCGTAGTTAGCCGTTGCCCCTGCCCCCGCCCCCGCCCACCATACGAATTTTGGCGCGGACCGTTGGAAGTTTGGGCCTTGAATGCAAACGTGTAGTCCGAATCCCGTCGGGTTGGTGTGAAATAAGCCGATTAATCTTCGGCCCACCCGCAGAGTCCCCCCTGCCCTCTCTCTCCCCGCCTGCCTAGAGACTCACCCTCTACAGCTCAGACTAGGACTGCCGTGCGAAGCAAAACAGGCCGTCAACCACTACAGCACCGGGCGAGAAAATCAAGCAGCCTCTCAACGTCTGCAATCATCTACTGTAATAGAGAAACAGTTTGGGAATGGAAGTCAGAGCAGTAGTGATAGAAGAAAGAGAAATCTGAGAGGCAGCTAGCGCAGTTCGCCTCACACACCCGGTCGTGCCGACGTCGGCGCAACCGCTTGATGAG